CCTGCGTGTTGACAGGTGCGCGCAGGATGACTTATCTAGGAGATCAGTTCATCAGATGGAAAAACATTTGCTGAGGGGACTGAGGCAGTTTTAATAACCAATTTAACTCATACACACGTCAAAGTATTCATCAAGCAGAAATACAAAGCAGAAAACTGGAATTACGAGTCATTGTTAGTAACAATATTATATTAATATAGTTTTTTTTTTGAGTAATAAATTATCCTTATACATGTTTACCATGATTTACAGAATGCATCTACAAAATTTTCATTCAATGTAACAATAGTTTATAAACCTAAAACCCAAAATTATATTAAGAATTGTAGTGGCTATTTTCTCTAAGGAGGCTCTCTCAGTGGTCAAGAAACAAAGTCTTACCCGGGATGTCTTTTACAAGTTTTATTCTTTATAAAGAAGATCACAGTCATACAGCAACAACAGTTTCTGCAGAGTGAGATACTAAAGCAAAGTGTGTTCCCCTTTTTATCTAGTTTGTACTGCTTACGAGGTCAACTCCCAATAAGGCCTCATCTACAATTACGTCAGGCGTCTTCTGCTGTTCGTGCGATATGCTCATAACAACCACACATCCTTCTTAGGATAATGAAAAAGCTTTCACCTAAAGAAATATAGTTATCTATAAAAATGTACACATAGGTTTTATGATGAACATATGGAGAACACAGATACACACACATGTAATAATGAGTCTTAGACAAGTTTCTAACATATAAAGCTCATCTAAAAATGAATTTCCATTACAGAATCATTAAAAGATCCCACACTATTAATTAGTTGCTATTATAAATCTTTATATTTTGCCACTTTTTAAAAACAAAAAAATTGGGTTTGTCAGCAGTAAGTTTTTGGTCATTTAAAATGTAATACATTTTTTAATTATCACATACTCTCTTATATACCTTAATAAATGCATTAGACAGACCACCTAGTTTTTCGCGATTTCGCCATCGCTGAATCCAACGCAAAATCAACAAAATTTTCTCTTTTTTGCGATCCTACAAAATTCTTAATTAAACGCAAAATAATGTCAAAAAACATAAATAATCTCATAAAGCATCCAATTCCAAACCATATAATCAATTTAGATTTATTTCAGTTAGCTTTCCATTTCACATGACTTATTGTTTTACATGACTTATAGATGTTGTATACGCAGCACACGTGATGTATTTGAGCAAAAATGATGTCTCACCTGCGCCCTCACAATCATTACATTGCATGAAAGGAGGAGGTACTGTAACGCATGTCCTTACCTAATACCTAATACCTAGGGAATACCTAACGCATACCTTAGCGAGGTACATGATGTCAGATGTATATATATCTAAACATATATATATATATAGATAGATAGATAGATAGATAGATAGATAGATAGATAGATAGATAGATAGATAGATAGATAGATAGATAGATAGATAGATAGATAGATAGATAGATAGATAGATAGATAGATAGATAGATAGATAGATATAATTTTTATAATTATATATATATATAGATATTTTTTTATTTATATAGAGTTAAAGTGATATTGATAATGGTTTTTCTTCTGGAGAAAGTCTTATTTGTTTTATTTCGGCTAGAATAAAAGCAGTTTTTAACTATGAACCACCATTTTAAGGACAAAATTATGAGCTCTTTTAAGCTTTTTTTTTTTTTTTTATAGTCTACAGAACAATAAACAGGAATAAACAGGAAAAAATAAGCAGGGGGGGGGGGTAATAATTCAGGGGGGCTAATAATTCTGACTTCAAATGTATATTTATAAATATATTTATTTTAAATCGCAAAATTTCTGGGAATTACCAGCAAAAAATCATCAAAAACTAGGCGGTCTGAAATACTAGGCGGTCTGAAAAACGAGGGGGTCTGATTGGACACTTGCTTGTCTGCATTATTTATATGAAATTACTTTTAATAATTCAATTTATATTTCTGTATACATTATGTGTGTGCATTTGTTATATATAAATTATTCATATAAACATGTAGGCTTTACTTAAAAGTTTGACCACAATAAAATTAGAATTTTGATTGAAGAAAATTAATATCAGTTTTATACTTTTCTTGATTCCAACAAATATTTAATTGAACTAAGTAACAAAAGACACAAGCATGTTGCTGTTCATATTGTTGATATTTTTCTCTGAGCCTGCTTTATTGAAGCTCATAAATGAAGGCTCATAAATGTTTTTACAGTCCTCTCAGGCCATAGGCAGACATCTTCTTTATAACCCTTTTAAATAAGAAATATTCTCGTCCTTACTGTGGCTTGTTTCAGCCACAGCCAGTCAAAGCCCCTATAATCTCAAAATTATTAATAGACAACTCTCATACGCCCCCTGTTGGTGAAGAAGGATGATGTTTGTGTTTAAACAGACATATTTTCTTTCCTGTAGTCTTACATAATGGGTGCGGACAGAGTGAGGTTTGAGAGACTTGTTAGGTGCGACTGTATGTGATGTTTTATTAAAGGCCTTTGACAAGTGCGTCTAACTGTGGGATGCACAATCTTGCCAAATCATCCAAAGGCACACATAAGACGGTTTGTCTCTCCCACCGCGCTCTGAGAAAGACACACAGTTTCTTGCTTAACAGTTCAGTGTTTCACCACCCATAGATTCCACCTAGTGTGTGAGTGTGTGTGTGTGTGTGTGTGTTTGAACACGTACTACACAGCATGCTTATTAAATCAGCTGCAGAAAGGGGATTCAGGCTGTGTGATTGGAGCTACAAAGGAGGCCATTCTGATTAAACGCATCTTAGACCTGCTTAGCACAGAGAAAGAGGATGATTGTTGCCATTTTAAATCTCTTTGGTTTCCTCTTTCATTCAGCAGCAGATTATTCCCATTCTGTTCTCAGAGTTCTCCACGTTAGGCTTCTTAACTTTCCAATTCATTTACTGTCCTACCTCTCTCGCTCTCCTCTTCTTTTCTCCAGTGGAAGAAAACGCTGTCACAACTGTCATCCACTATAAACTTCTCTCTCCCTCTTGTAACGACTCTGATTTTTAGTTAATTGCTTCACAGATTTGAATAAAGCCAATCTGGATTAGTGAAGGGAATGACAGCCTAAAAAACCCAGTTAGAGCAGAAGGTTTACTTCTGTACTATGCAAGTACTGTAGGTAAAACTTTTATATTTAAATTAAAAACTTAAAAGCACAATTTTTATACGTGGTAATAATATATATATATATATATATATATATATATATATATATATATATATATATATATATATATATATATATATATATATATATATAAAATCATGGTCAGAAATGTCTTAAAAGGATTTATTTTTATGTAACATATACTAATACTAATAACCTTATTACGAACAATGATGTACAAACTTCATTTCTTAATGGTCATTATTATGGGTAAAACCAGGATGATTTTTCATGTTTCTCTGGCCTCCTCAAACTACCCAGTGTTTTGATCAGCCTGATCTCACGAGGAGTCGTAACTATTTTACATTTTGTCAGTTTAGTGGCTAATTCGTTCTAATTCATACGAGATCAGTCATACAAAAATGTACAAATTTAAAAAGGAAAAACCATCATTGAGGGAATAGGCAAACCATACTAAACTGTACGAATGATATCCTACGATTTCATATGAATTAACCACAAAATCAAAAAGTTCAGAATTGCCGTGAGAATGTGCTGGTTTCTGTTTTTAAGCACCCATATTATGGAGCTAAAAATATGCCAAAACAATCTGAATTTAAATTGTGTTGATTTGAATTATTGACAATTTTAATTATTAATTTTAATTATTAAATTAGAATTTTTATATGCCGTTTAAAAAATAATTTGAATTTGATAACTTAATTTGAATTTGAATTTCATAACTTGAATATTAAACATCTGAAATGTAAGACAGCTGAATTTTTTCAAGGCTGAATTTTTTATAGATGCGTTTTCAAACTCATTTACTCTTCGAGTTGATGACCCCTGACCTACTTTCTGCTGAATCTGAATTCCACTATCTGTGAAAATATATATTTGAAATTTAGGATATTAAATTTGATGTTCTAAATTTCTTCATCTTGAAAATTTGAAACTGTATTTTTACAAACTGGATATCTGCAGTCTATCAATTTAGAACAAAAAAAAATCTGAAGTGTGGAAATGCGTCTATAAAAAATTCAGCCTTGAAAAATTCAGTTGTCTTAAAATTCATATGTTCAAAATTTAAGTTATGAAATTCAAATTAAGAAATTTAAAAAAAATTAACATCATATAAAAATTCAGATTTATTAAATTACAATTGTCAAAATTTCAAATTAACAGAATTCAAATTCAGATTGTTTTGGCATATTTTTAGCTCCATATATAACCCTACTATTTAATTAAAAATCACTAGTGTAAACAGGTCTGAAACCTGCTTAACCCTGGTCCTGTAATCTGATGTGTCTGGATTAGATGTTGCAGTGTAATGGTAGTCTCCTCGTCGGCTCTGTGACCTGGTGTTGTGAATGGATCAGAGCGGAGTGTGTTTGGATCTGAAGCGGGGGTCTCTGAGCTCTGATTCTACCCACCTGCAGAACTGGGGAGTGATGAATACACTTCATTAAGGGTAGAACACAAAGCTGGCTTGTCCCTCGGCCTTTGGGCCTGCTCTGCTTCCACAAATAGAGTCGCTGTTGTTTTAGCACTGCCAAGAGAACAGAAACAGGATAGAGTCACCAAATGGTCTTTCTTTGTTTCTTTCTTTCTTGCTTTCTTTCTTTCTCTCATCTGAAATATGAAACAGAAATATAATGCATGGATTTGGACTAGTAACCAAGCTTGTGTTCTATTTTCTTCATGCTGTTCTGGTCACAGATGGGAGATGGTTGGACGCATTTGTGCAGCTGTTTTTATTTTCCCCTGCATTCTATCAAATGCTTTGTCTTCCTTTCATGGCCTGTCATTCTCCCCTCCTCAGGAGCTCACGTATTTCTTTTTGTCTTTGTTTTCCAGGTGTACAAGAAAAGAGAAGTGTGAGCGGTCATCCGAGCCTCGCCGCTTCGCCTCAAATATAAAGCAGTGTGTGAGACTCAGTGTTCACCCCAACAACATCTCTGTGTCCCAGTACAGTGTGATGGTGAGTGCTAATTATCAATTCTCACCTGGGTTACTTGGGTGTAAATCGCACCATAAAATATCCTTAAGGAATAATGAGGAATCACTGAACCCCTTTTAAGTGTTTCTGAGGGCAAAGCCAAACGCTGGACATATCGACATTAGCTTTCTCTAATTCAGTTACGGAGACCATTGCTCTTCTGGTTCCATCATTAATGTGATCATGCTCTTATTTAAGTTCAGCCTTTATGGATCTGCCTTTCGCACTGATGGGTTTATGATGACGCGTCATTGCGATTGACCGTAATACATGTTTCACAGACATTTGAACACTCGATATCTAATGAGATCAGACCCTGACCATTTATATTGGTATTATTTTAGATATATTTGAATGAAAATCCATATTCTGGTTGTTATTCTTTAATAGAAAAAGAAAAATCTGCTTCTTGTTAATTCAATGTAATCCTTAAGCATTGCTAGTCTCTTAAGGAAACATTGGCGATCAAATCAAGTAGGTTTTCATTGTCATTTTAACCTCCAAGGTGATACATACAATCTAAATTTAACAACATAAATTAGCAAAAACTAACTAGCCAACTTAGTTAGCCTACTAGCTAAGAAATGACAGACTGACATAAAGTGCAAATGCAATAATGATAAGCTGGATATTATACTTTATTTTCCATCATTTTGGACAATAATTAAATAAATTCATTAAATTTTTACTTGTGTCCCTAATAATTCTACAAAAGAGCTTGACTAATTGCAGAATGTAGGGCATGAGACTCTTACAAATGTAGGCCATGATGTTTCTTTTAATATCTAAGTTTCCTCCTGACTCTATCAATTGTTCTTTGAAGCATTGCTTTTTCAACTATCTATACCAATTATCATCTACAATTACCTGTTTTATCATACACACATCTGAACGAATGATTGTGCAAATAACAAAGTTGCATATTGTTGCATAAAGCAAATTGTATCATTCATATACATAAAAAAAGCGATTGGTTGTTGTGTCTACATGATTGTTTTATAACAACATTCTGATTAATATGAAATGATTAATGTAAGTAAACAGTTATGGTGTCTTATATCAACTCATATCAACATTCACTTTGTCCAAATCCCTAGTCAGGGTAGTTACTTTCTCTATTGGTGTTTTTTGTTGGCTGATCCCAGCTAAGTGCAGACTCTACCACTCCCTCATTGAGTGTGTGTGCGTGTGTGTAAAATCCATCAAAGCAGGCCATGGTTTCAGACCTTATCCTCATGTAATCCAGCACCTCCTCTGAGCCTTTATATCAGATTAACGTCTCCACTAGAGAAGCTGGCCTTTCAGCTGATTCAGGATCTGTATTCTGGGCCCAAAATCAAAAACCCGGCTACTAGGCTGTATCAGAGCTAATAAACGTCCTAATGTCAGCATGTAAAGCAAGCTTTGTGCTCCACAGAGCGATGCTTAATCAGGACCTGGATATGTTTAGATACCCTAAACCATTAACACAGCAGTTTTTTTTTTTTACCATATGTAAGCATTTATGTCAACTGTATCTCGGCAACCAGTCAAAGCAGCTGTCAGGAGATTCTGTAGTAGCTGTTCACAGTCATTGAAGAGTTGATGTTATCGTATTGCTCATATCATGATGTCCTTATTTAAACTCCTCAGGTGTGTTCGAAGAGTGCTAAAGCCTTAAGCTTGAGATAATGAGCCCAATCCTCAGAATTTTCACAATCTTAATCTTGAGTATGCCCCTGATAACTGAGACTAATTTAGTCCAAGCTGGGATACAAGGATGCATCATACAGAGTTAATATGTCCATATAACATGTAAATACACAGAATGTAGAAATACAATACTATACAATATTAAGCAAATATTCGTTTTGTGTGTGTGTGTGTCTGTGTGTGTGTGTGTGTGTGTGTGTGTGTGTGTGTGTGTGTGTGTGTGTGTGTGTGTGTGTATATACAGTTGAAGTCAGAATTATTAGCCCCCCTGTTTATTATTTCCCCAGTTTCTTTGTAACGGAAAGAAGATTTTTTTTCAACACATTTCTGAACATAATAGTTTTAAAAACTAATTTCTAATAGCTGATTTATATTATCTTGCCATGATGACAGTAAATAATATTTGACTAGATATTTTTCAAGACACTTCTATACAGTTTAAAGTGACATTTAAAAGCTTAACTAGGTTAATTGGTTGAGAAAAAAAATCAAAGAGGGGCTAATAATTCTGACTTCAACTATATATATATATATATATATATATATATATATATTTTTTTTTTTTTTTCAATGATAAATGTCGTGAGCACAGTATTACAAGTCAAGATCGTATTCATGTAATAAAAGCATGCGATTTTCTTTGCTTGTGCTCCAATGCACAAAATTTCTTGAATGCCCTTAAATATACACTGGTTAAGTGCAGAATTTCTTGTCCTCTCTCAAATAAATGCTGCTGAAGTGTCATTTAGTGCATTTATGTAACGAGCATGTCTCTAACATTTATTAGATTTGCTAGGAATATTTATGAATGTCTCTTATAATAACATTAATCCGCCCTGAAGTAAAGTGAATATTGCTAAACTCCAGCAAGATAAAGTCATTGTATGCAGAACCATAGACCTTTATCTATAAATAAAGTATAATTATGGAAACTGTGTTCAACTGAAAGCTACATCATGTTTGCTGGCCTCATGCATCGCACAGATGATGTCAGTCATTCAGAATGTAACCTTAAAGGGTTAAACAAATAACCCTATATATATATATATATGCTATTTTAAATAGTAAATAATGACTAATAATTTTATTTTTGATTAAATAACATTATATATGTATACACAATTATGTGAGTGTGTGCAAGTTGCAAATACATAGAATAATGACCTTTTCTTTCAAACTGATATTACCTGCAGTGCAATCAAATTTAACCTATACACTAAAATACACTACAGTGTTTCATTGTCTTGACCTTTTATGATATTAGATATTTGTTTGAGGAGATCAACACAAAGCTCCTTTTTTGAGTCTGCGTGGAGAATTTAGAGACTCAGGCTAATTTCTCATAGAAAGAAAACATTTATCCATCTTTTTTTGGGGGGTGGGTGGGGGGGGTTGTTGGAGTATTTTACATTTGATCCAATAGTTCTTTTTGGACCTTTACATGTCCAAAGTGTGCTGTAAACCACAGTAAAGCCAAGCAAGTTATCTCTTTTGAGTGCATTTACCAAAGAAGATTTTTTTTATAATACTGAAGCTCTGATAGGAAGAGTATAGCACTGGTATAGCATTATCCTGAAGGAGAATTTTCTAGTTGTTTTTGGAAAACCTGAATATAGTTAAACACTATAGATGCTCTGAGAATTCATTTAAATGTAGATTTATTTTATCCATACAATTTTAAAGTACAACAAGAGGTACAATAGGCAAAGTCTCATAGCTATCGGGTCACTGTGGGTCAGTCGGCAGCTCTGTTTCCTTCTACCCGCAAATCCTGAAGCATAATTAGAAACCTGTATCAGCATCTGAAGTCCACGAGAGTCTGCTGTCTTGATGCTTTCTTCTGTTGAGGCAGGAGGTAATCAAAGACACCATATTCCTCGTGTCGTACCCTCTGCTGTGAGAGGCCTTTTTTTTGTTTGTTTGTAGGGTTCCTCTCAGAGCGGGATGATTTTCATATTTATCGTGGCCAGCAAGGGTTTGTACGCCGCTGCTTGAAATGTAATTGAAGAAATTCTCTCTGCATCCCGCTCTAAAAGGAAAAATAAATTAAATCCCAGAGTGGCGCCGCCATCCACTGGTGCATCCTGAACTTTAATGGGAAAGCGGAAAACAGCGAAAGAGGGGGTGAGATGGGAAAAGAGTGTCTGCAACATGTCCCTGCCTTTTCATTAAACAGCAATCTAAAAACAGCCCCGGTCAGCCGTTCTGTTGAGTAAAGGGTGTTTCAGGCCGTATCACCAATGTAATGCTGAGTGCAGGGCCACTCTATGCAAGGCTCCGGCTTCCTATTAGTGTGGATATTCCGATTTCATCCACTTCACCTCCCATGATGCCCTCACAGAGCGTTACTGCACACTTCCTCCCCGCAAAAGAACAAACTGAGTCAAACTGTGAGAGTTTTTTTATTTTCTTTTTTACTGGGCAGATCTCTATTACTACATAACTTAATTATTATCTTACATCTATCTTTTTATATTCATATCTACATATTAAGTCACACCTTTTAGATTTATACAATTCTATAAAGTGGAGATTTTAATAGGAATTCAGATTTATTCATAAAAAAAAAGTATGAATGTTCTGTTTTTTCCCTATTTAGAAACAAAAAGGATGAGGTTGAATTGCTAATAAGATTAGAATTTAAATGAATGTTTTAAAGATGATTGTAATAAGGTTTGATGGCCCCATTACCATTGGGAAGAAGGAGGCAGAGAATTGACACATTTTCATTCATTCATTCATTTTCTTGTCGGCTTATTCCCTTTATTAATCCGGGGTCGCCACAGCGGAATGAACCGCCAACCTATCCAGCAAGTTTTTTACGCAGCGGATGCCCTTCCAGCCGCAACCCATCTCTGGGAAACATCCTCACACACATTCACACAAACACTCATACACTACGGACAATTTAGCCTACCCAATTCACCTGTACCACATGTCTTTGGACTGTGGGGGAAACCGGAGCACCCCCACGCGAAGGCAGGGAGAACATGCAAACTCCACACAGAAACGCCAACTGAGCCGAGGATTGAACCAGTGACCTTCTTGCTGTGAGGCATCAGCACTTCCTACTGCGCCACTGCTTCGCCCTTGACACATTTTAAATTTTTTTATTAAATAAACATAAAACAAATAGGAGGCAGCGGATAGATAAATATAAACCTGGAAAGGGACAGAAGTGTATATTTTGGAAAGATATACAAGATTACAGATGTGGTGTTGTGGAATGGGATGCCAGCTCATTATCTTAGGAGATGATATAAAGAAATTGCAGTGTCTCACAAAGCAAAGTAAAAGACAAAAGTTGCAAAGAGAGCATTTGTTTCAAACTAATGACAGTTGCTACTTCTCACTCTTCTCTTTGTCATCGTCCCTTTTTCTGTTGCTCACTTCATTTTATTCCGGTCTAAGGCAACACATGTGCTTCTGAGCAAGACTTGAAATTCATTTGAAAGCTAGAAGCCAGAGGGCATTGTGGGTAACAGAGATGGCAATGACAGAAAGACAAAAAAAGAGAGAGCGGTAGTTCTCCAGATGAGTCATATAGAAAAAAGAGAGAATAAAAACTCTCACCCAGTAACCCTCTCTCTTTCTCATTCTCTCCTTCTCTCTCTCTCAATATCCCATCCACTCGTGTTCAGCGAAACACATTAGAGTCAGTACAGGCTGACTGATGGCCGACTGGAGTCTCTTGATGTCTCTGGACATTTTCCTCCTGGAAATCTAGGAGATTTGTGGCCGCTGGTTTGGTGGCTGTGCGGTTGGCCATGTGTCAGCTGGGATTATTTAGGGAATGGCCGCGTGTGTTTTCTGGGATGTCTTGATATCTGTGGCTGGATTGAGATTTCCCATGTGTGGAGTCTGCAGAAGAATTGAGCATTTCAAATCCCGAACATGAGAAAACGTCTGTGTTACAGCAGTTTTAGGAACTGTGGCAGACTTAAAATATGAGTTCATTCTGTGCATGGTGTTACTGTTTGCAAAACACACCAAAGTTTGTCCTGTCCATTACTTACTTTTATTTTCTCCCCTGTCTAACTTCAGTTTGCCTTTTCTTCTTTCCTTGACAGCTTGTGCTGGAGGCTCATAATGTGCCAGAACTTTCAGCAGGGGTCAACTGCACCTTTGAGGACCTAGCAGAGATGGACGGACTAGTGGAAGGGAATCGCATAACCTGCAGTTCTCCTGCAGAGAAGGAAGTCCCACGCATCATAGTAGACCAAGGTGTGAAGATGTGCTGTCACCCGCCAATCAAATACATTGGGAAATTGGGCTAAAGGCCTGGATGTTGGCTTTTGTTGTGGCAGAGTGAACCAGACAGAGACTAAAAGTCAGACAGCTTTATAATTGGAAGCACTGGATCGAGAGATCTTCTCCAGACTCTAGAAAAGCTAGATTTATATCAGAGAAAACGAAGACAGTGTGTGTGTGTGAGAGAGAGAGTGATAGGCATAAACCTGAGCAGAGTTGGAAGTTTACGTGCTCATTATCTCGCCTGCAGCTGTTGACTTTTGCCGCAGGACGTGTTTTGTAATTGAGTGAATAAAGGTCGTCAAGAGGGAGGCAGTTTTGGCATTCTGTCTCCTGCTCTCTTGCCTGTCTCTCTCCATTTCAGTCTTTCATACTGAGGCTCCATTGGCACTGAGGTTTGAGAGATTTTTCAAGTAAAGTGATTGGATTGGATCTCCTGAACTGATGACACTCTTCACTCCATCTGCTCGGCTGAAAATGGTTTTGACAGCATTCACTCCAGCAGATAAGAGATGGAAAAGATTTTTCAAGAGAACATTTTGTCGTCCTCTTTCACACTCTTGTCAATGCCGTTCTTTCGCCTCTGTTTTCTTTCGACATGCTTGGTTACCCCAAAGTAATTGAAATGAGCGCACATCTGGGCAGCTGTCTAGAGGCTGGTAATTTTTCATAATACGAAAACGTCTCAACAGTAGAGTAATGAAGATGCGTGCCTCTACAGAAACAGGGGAATACTCCTCCACATGTGTTTCCAGTGTGAAAACAGCTAGAAAAGGGGGAAGCAACAATGTAAAACACAATAAGGTACAAGGTGAAACGGAAGCAACAATGTTCATTCAGAACAACGCCTGCAAATTATCTTAGTAACTGGCACAGCGGTCTGGATGTGAGGTAGAAAGAGACGTGCACAGGGGTGTGAAGTGTGTGAATAATGATGCATGCAAGTCTCATTGGCGATGTGAGGCTAGTCAGGCCACCATGAAATTACAGGTCGGCCCAATCTGCAAGGGCCTGGAGCTCAAAAATACCGCAGAGCAAACACACTCTCACGCCACTGGATAAGTATACTATTACACACCTGAGGGTGCACACTATACACACATTACTGGATGCATCACCATCACTGCAACCTGTACATTTTACCCCTAATACATAGGGATGTATCATAAAAAAAAACAGTAATGCCCTCGCAGTTACAGGTCATTTGTTCGCCCTTCAGTTTCTTAGTGTCATGGTAACCAAGTGTGTCCTGAGTGACTCATTAAAGTCAGACACACTGCAGCGGGTGGCAGGGGATCTGCACATGCACACCCTCACACACACACTCCGGAGATGCCAGCCATCAAGGTAACATTTAAGTGAGCTAATTAGGACAGATTCATTGTCAGGCACACTTTACAGTGATTGATGAATGATTCGCTCTTTGTTAAAAAACACCACACGACAGGGAAGAGCAGTGCGTTAGAAGAACAAGAAGTTGAAGAGAAGTATGTGAAAAGGCGAGACAAGAATAGATGGAAAGTGGAGGAAAAAAGTATGATCTTCCTTTGAGAAGGGAGATGTCGTGTCCGGCATGTTGAATTAAACATGAGCTTCTTCATTAGCTCAGACAAAAACACTCTGAAGATGGGCACTTTTGTGCCACATTTCCATTAACTCGTGCAGGTTTCTTTCTCCTGCTCCCTGTCTCTCTCCCTCTTCAAGGATGTTTTCATCAGAAGGGTCTTGGCTCTTTTTTGGCATAGACCTTTTATTCTTTGCTTTACAAAGCTGCTCCATAAGCCACAAACTATATAATGTACTTGCTCTGTCATCTTAATTTAGTATAATTAGTGTATCAGATACATTACTCGTCACTTGTATATGGGGTATAGCATTCTATGCATGTAAGATCAACTCCTACTTCAACGGTAAATCCCCGAAATATGCTAAACTGCAATTACTTCAAATTGGAAATGTTACATAAATGTAATTTCATTTGCTTAGGTTGTATTTAAAAAGTGTTTTCATGTAGCTCAAACTCTATAAAATGTCACTACATTTTATTTTGGTTAAATCCGTTTCACCAGGCTTTAATCTAATGCTTGTCTGGCAGCACAATAGCAACAGTTTCTAAACAGTGTTTTCCCATCACCTCTTAGGTGACCATCAGATTGTCCAGCTCTACCTCAAGTCAAAGGAGACAGGATTGGCTTTTGCAAACACTAGCTTTGTCTTCTACAACTGCAGCGTTCACAAGTCGTGAGTATCTTTGTATTGACACTGACACATGCAGCAATGTAATCTCTGCTTCCAAGAAAACTCCAATTGTGGTAATCTTTTTTTTTATCCCAGATGTCTATCCTGTGTTGGAAGCCCGTACCAGTGCCACTGGTGCAAATACCGTCACACATGCACTCACGACCCAAGCAGCTGCTCTTTCCAGGAGGGCCGTGTCAAACAGCCAGAGGTGAGTTATTTGCGATTGGTCACACATCGGGTTTTGTAATTGGCCCTCATCATTCTCAATTGAACGTAATTGAGTTGATTGGTGCTGAGGTGCAGTTCAGGTCACATCCTGATTGTGAGGAGTTACCCAGCATCACCTTGTCAAATTGAGCCATTTCACATGCATCTCATGGATTTGACTTAATTCTCAGTAAATCCCTAACATTTTGGTCTGGATTCCCACCAATATCTTATTCCGTGTAAATTATCAATAATATTGGCACCAATCTCATGCCTCAAGGCCACTGCAGGCCTGTCAGATAAATTAAAAGCTGCTGTTATGGCTCAGCGCTTTTTGCTGAAGCCAAACTCTTTCTTAGCTCACTCTGTGATGGATGCCAAGAAGGGTTGAACTGAAGGCTTTTTTATCATTGAAGTGCCCTTTAATTCTTCCCCAAGGGTCTACACGGCATGAATCACAATGTGTTTATTTGATTTTCATCATGAACTGAACAGAAAAACACAGCTAGCATGAAGATACGATTATGTACATCATGCTCATCTGCTTAGCTTTGAAATGCGTGATGTGTTATGAGGACACCTGCCTCCCAGGGCTATGTGTTTTAGCCACACAAATGTGTAGCCTCGTCATTTAGCATTCATTAACATCACTTAACAGTGTGTTTCTCAGCCTGCCAGTATTTGGCATTGTAATTATCAAATGGATGCGCGCTGTCAATATTGACCAGCTTAATATTAGGATTCCCTATTGTGTGTCGAGCGACTTGCACACAAAGCAGCGACTGAATATTAGCACATGCTAATGACATTTCCACTGGATGTTTTTGTTTGATTTTTGTTTTAAGGCTGATGTTTTGTCTGGTTAATGAGTTTAATTTGGATTTCATTAACCCCTCATACTGGAGGTCTCAGATCTGCTTCCAAATTCTGGGTGGCTTAGAATTAATGACCAGAGATGTTTACTGTGCAAATCCTCAGAGCAGACACTGACGAGTCAACTTTGCATGGAGAAATGAGATGACCTTTTGTGTTGACCTTCCACAGATGAATTTCTGTGTTTTATACCAATTAAGGGATTGCTGAGAGTGATCTGAATAATCCAGGCTTCTCTTTCAATGGATGTTGGAAGTGAGAAGCCCCCTGTAGTTGCAGCTTGTTTAGTTGTGCACTCCTGAGATTTGTAGAATACTCCACATTCACAAACAAAACGTGCCGTTGCATCAGAAAATCATCTCCAGAAGGATTTAACAACAGTTTGCCATTCACAGTCTCTCACTTTTAAACATCTGATGGGTCTTCTTAGGCTGTCTGCTTTCAATTTATGTGACACATTTCTTTGGTTAAACAACAACAGCAAAGGATAATTTCCTTCGCTTCTCAGTTTAACAAATTTTGACCAGACTTCCCAGTTGTACATGATATTTAGATTTTTATATGATGAATTTTATATAGGTTAGCCAGGAATTATTTAATTGATGATTTGATGTAAGCTCTGTGAGTAGATTCATTTCAGACTGATACTAGAACTAGTACATCTTGTCATAATTCTCTGCAATATTTTGCAGGATTATCAATTAATTTGGACGTATGGAATATTGATGGCTTTGTTTGCTCAGCCCAGTGCTTTGCTTTTATTTATTGGTAGAGACTGTTATTTCATCATAGCACAGCTAACCTAATCGATGTAACCTCTAAAAGTCTTGATTTCCCCTCTGTCTAGAATGTGTACTTGGGGTAGTGCTGAATCCTGTCAGTCGCTTACAGTGTCGGTCTACTATGTTTCACTCTTGGCCACAGGCGTAATGCTGCATGACTAAATGCATGCCTTCCTGACCCAGATGTCCACTGCACTTTAGCAAACAATTTCTGTTATGGCTTGGCTTTGCACATCCTTTTAGGAAGTGCAAAGTGACAGTTCATAGTATGCCTTACTGATGGGTAATGTGAAATTGTGGTGTAATTCTGAATAATAGATGCACTCAGTCAAATTCTTCACACTAGACAAATTCACATGAACCTTTTATTTTGAAGGCGTATGCTCAAATATGAATCAGACAAACATACATTTAAACATAAAGTAATTTTGTAATTTGACGAAAACATCAGCCAACTCAATTTTGGACCAGGTTAGAGAGAGACACAAGTAAGTAAAGGAGAGAAGTGTGGGAAACAGAAACTGATCGATTCAGTGAACTCTCTACCATCTTATTAAGATGTTAATTGACAGGCACAATTGGCGGCTTTGTGCAATTGAGCTGCAGATTGTGAGTAGGAGGATTTGGGTTTGACTTCAGAACCATGAGATGGCCTCTCTGGTGTGCCTGCAGCCCTCAAGGAGAAACTTTGAGGTAAAAATCATTTGAATTGAGATGAAGAAAAGGCCAAGATGCGAGGCAGGCAAGAGTGAAAACAAACAGATGAAAAGGAGCAAAGTGAGGTGGAAGAGGATGTGTGATACCACAGGAAGTAAAATGTGGCATGCAATGGGCGGGGAGGGTTTTCGCCTGTGGCAGTAGGGAGGCACACTAAAGCATAAGGAGCGCAGGGAAGCCTCAGTAATCATCCAGCTAACACCACGAGAGCTGTGGAGAGAATTAGGTGTTTCATCTTCTACACAACTGAACGCTGCCATTATGCATACATAGTCAGACAGCTCTAATTATGGATCTATCACTCCGTGCCAGCTCGCTACCCTCTGTTCTCTGTGCCAGGGCATCTTCTTCCCCGCTTGCGCTCAATGACTATCTTTGTCTCCGTGCATCTCTAACAGAAGCTCATGCACTGAACTTCAGTCTTTTCCCCCCACCTACAGTATCTCTTTCTTCAGTGTCTAATTATATGAGTCCTGGTTTGAGATGTTTCAGTTGCAGTGGAACGTAATCTCATAGCCAAGTAGTAAACAATCAGGAGCCCAATAGCTGTCTTTCTTACTCCACATCCCTTTGTCAAACATATCATTATGCTTCAGCTCACCCTCGGGCTTCTCTTGCTCAGACCAAGACTGTAAACACTTTCAAGATTCTCATTTAACTGTAAAATGTCTATTTTTAATAATAATTTTCCTTTTTTTTTTAATCAAACCATGCTTTGTTTTCCTGCCTCAAATGGGCCTTGGGCAGGACTTGTCAGATTTGACACAGTCTCAAGTGATTTGTCATGAATGCATGTTACATTACAGTCTCTGCATTTTCATTAATGTCCTTACAGTAAGACTTCTCAGCTGTATCTAGCTCGAGGCTACAGGACTCATTCTCTTCCTGGACTCAATGGACACTAGCTCTTTTTCTAAAACAGGAAATGAGTCCACTCTTTTGATCTGCATTGGTTTAGTTCAAAGCAGTGAGATCTAGTTGGATGTTGATGGTCAGGGGTCAGAGATCTAAAGGTTGCTTGTTCAATGTTCAGTGTTACTTTCGATGACTTTTACCACTGTTTGCTTGATCATTTTTGGTGGTATTCTTTGGTGAAATTGTGAGTTTGAAAGGACCTTTTTGAGAACAACAATAGGAAATGCATTTAATTTGTTCCCCGTCCTGCTTTCTCTCTCATTGTGTCTATCACTGTTCTTTCTTCTCAGCCTGCTTGTACTAGACTTAATAACCTGGCCCTAGTCTTCAGTGTCTCATAAGACTCTGTATTAAAGCCTCCCAGGCTTCAATTATACTGTTGTTATGCTTGGAGTCAATCTCCTTCCACATAAAACTGCCAGCGGAGCCCTGCTCATCCATCAATAAGAGGCGTTGAGAGTAAGAGGCCAGCTAGACACCTTCCCCAAAGAAGAAAGCACTGACCAGAGAGACTTGGGCGTGGATGGGCTTGAGATATTGATGTTTTAGTAGGCAGTTTTCCCTTGTCTTGCTTTATTTATGACTAAGACCACTGCCAATAAACATGTTCACATTACATCAGGGTAATGTGGAGATAAATCCTTGGAGGGTGGTCTGGTGAAGACTTAGAAGGGCCCTTGTAGACCATGGGGTTTGGTAGCCATTATGAAATTGCAGTGGCTCTAAATGGGGATTTAGAGATCTAAACATTGACTGAAAGCCTGGTCAGTGAAGGGCTGCCTTTGCTAGAATAGATCTGTGGTTTGCACCCCGCTTTTTACTGGTGACTTTAATATCTAGAACCTGTATTGGTGGAGATATAAGAGTCGGGTAGTGGGGTGTGTTGTGGTGTCTATCCTGTTTTATTTAAGACTGCAATTATGCATGAGGGTGGTGTATTTGTTTTGTTGTTTTGTTTTTTGGCCTATGGAGATGTTTATGCTTACAGGGTGCACATTCATGTCTAGTAAATTGGAACACTGAATGTCTCTTGTACTGTAAATATCCTGTATGAAAGTAAAAATGAATGGGAGCTTATGCCTAACCTCATCCCCATACAAAATATTACCTTGCTGCAGTCAGACTGCAGCCCATCTTTAAATTCACACTCAGTATTCATTCAGCATTCTATAGCCGCTTTGGTCCAGATAGCACCTCAGTTTGTATTCATCTTATAAAAGCCGCCCGGGCACTTTGAACGGCCTGCACTGCATAAATACCACTCTGTGCTTCCTCGTTGATTTTTTCCATAGAATCCGAAAGACAGCATTACATCAGACTTATAAGAGTGAACTCTGGGACATAGAAGGGGAAAAACATTGAAGAGTTCTTTATCCTTTTTCTTTAAAATTACATCTTTTTGTCTGCTTGAATTAACAGCACTCACTTTTATTTCTTTTTGTAGATAGCCTCTCAAATTATCTATAATGGCTTTTTTAAACTGTGCCCCAGAGCAATTCAGCCATGCTAATGAGATTCAGACCATAGTTATTGGCCCGTCCTTTCAGCCCAAGAAGTAGACAGTACGGGAGTTTGATGCTAAGAACAGGCCCACACCCATTCTGAGGGAAACATATCAGGGATTTTTTGACAGGTTTAATGGGAGAGTCTTTGTTTTGTTCATGAACACTTACCAATTTGTTTTCAAACTTGCAGTTTGTTCTTCTTTTTCAGGAGTGTCCTCAGCTGCTTCCAGCAGATCGCATCCTGGTTCCAGTAAATGTGGTAAAACCCATCACCCTTCGGGCCAAGAACCTTCCCCAGCCACAGTCGGGTCAGCGTGGGTACGAGTGTGTGCTCACCATACAGGGTGTAGAGCAGAGAGTTCCTGCCCTCCGCTTCAACAGCTCCAGTGTACAGTGCCAAAACACATCGGTAAGACTCTGCTTGTAGGGGTAAGAGAGGGTTCAGTAAACGTTTCAGTCAATTTGTCTGTGGACACAAGGGTCCTTCCAGAAGCAAAGCACAGAATTTTAAGCAACACAACAAGTAGTAGACATGATAAAAGCGAACGGTTGTTTGCAGATTTTGTTAGAGCAGCTTATTTTAGTCACAAGTGCGTTGTGTCCTGAATATTTAGTGCATGTCTGCTTGTTCTCCCAGCATCAGCAGTGTAGGGATTTTGGAGGGCTCTCCACAGTGCTGTGATGACTTACCCGAGGATGAACCTGCCAGGAATGATAAAAGAGTTCTTCTGGCATAACACAACTAGTAAATATGTGTGTCTCTCTTTCTCTGACTCTGTTCCCATGGCTACAGTACATGTATGATGGGATGGAGATGAGTAGCCTCCCTGTGGATCTGACGGTCATCTGGAATGGAGACTTCAGCATTGACAACCCAGCCCAAAATAAAGGTGAGGCCTCTGATCCAGCAGCCTTGCTAGTACCCCTGGAATCAGTCTCCATGGCAACAGACTTGCAGCATCCATCACCTGATATCCTGGTGGAGTTGAATGCAGATAGCCTCTGTTTCTACTCAACTTCTTCCTCTTCTCTTGATTTAGCTTTTTTGACCTTATTCTTAACTTAGTACATAAAGACCTTATTCTTCAAGTGTTTAGGTTTACCTGTGTGTTCAGCCAGTTAGATATGTGTAGTCTGAGGCAGCCATTCTTTGGCCAACAAACAGCTTGTACAGAGAGGAAAAGCCAAATACAGAAGGGCCAATAAACCTATTACATATTGTAATAGAACATAGGTTACATATTGAAAGTTATATAAAAAATCATTTGAATCAAATTAAGTACTTTTGTCATAATTGGATGCATATCTTTATTATTATGTATTTTGGTATTTTATATTTTGTTTGCATTTTTTTTGCTTCAAGAAAATTGTTTACCAATGGTGTAAGAAAAATAACCTTAATATGGTATACAAATTTAATTCTCAAAATATTTTCATGAAGTGGATGTAAATAAGACAAAAATTTCTGCACTTAAAAAGACGCTGGCCAGTAGATGGAAATTCTGGATAATCCTAGAAGCAGTTTGAGCCTTCGGGGACTTTTAAACAGTTATGCTCAATGTGAAGATAAGAAGTCCTAAAAACATTTTTCTTTGATATGGAATTGGATTTGGATTCATTTTAAACATGCTCCTGCTTTAAGTCAAATCAATGGATGTAGCACAGATGCATGTGAGTGTGTTATTAAAGAGCTGTGTGTGTCTGTGTGAAGGTTAGGCTAATTTAAGAGGGGAAATAAAGTATGTGAGAATCTTCCCTCACTTCCCGCTGAGGGGAAACCGCTCAGGGGGCAGCAATTGATGGACGGTTCATACAAGCATCTAATAGCAATTAAAAATGCCTCTCTGGTTACCATGGAGATGAAACATAACATCGTTTTACCAGAGAAGGGAGTGTAGGAGAGGACCAGTTATCTTCTGAGTTCTGGAAAGCGAGCAAATTGGAAACGATATATCATTTCTGTTCTGTATTTTTCCATTATTTTAGAAGTATTTCAGATTTTCAGACTTTGAAGCATTTCAGTTTTGATAGATGTCCCATGGGTTTCCAAAACTGATGTGACCTTTGCCCTCCCTGTATCCCCAGTCCACCTTTACAAATGTGATGCACGAAGAGAAAGCTGTGGACTGTGTCTGAAGGCTGACCCCCTCTTCGGCTGTGTGTGGTGTAAGGGAGAAAACCGTTGCTCTCTGAAACAACACTGTTCTTACCCGCAGAGCATGTGGCTCGAGCACAATGGCATCAATAGCAAGTGCACGCACCCCAGAATCACAAAGGTAAAACTACTGTGCACAAGTACACCATGAAAAGTCTATAACACACAGTCCAAAAGTCTTGGATCACTAGAAAAAAGCTTATTTTCATCCTAAAAAAGACATTTCTGATGGATCTAATTCTTTTTTACACATTATTTATTCTTAAATGTTCTAGTTTACATTAAATTTAACATGAAAGAATTTCAAAGTGGTCACAGACTTTCAGACCCCACTGAATACAGTGTACAGAATATACAAGTCACAAAACCCCTGGCATAGGGTATCTCTTCTAGGAATGAGCCTGTATTCTATGACTAGTTCAGAGGTGAAAACATTTGCAGTAAAAAATGCTGATAACATTTTACTGAAAGCTTAGCATAAGATGTTGTTTAAATCGGGAATGTCTGGTTTGTTCTTAGTGGAGTCTTATATCCCACAGGTAAAATACAAGTCTTGTAGTATAACCTGAATTTACAGACATGCTCAACTTCATCATTCTGTCATTGTCATAAGCATGGATGGTTATGGTTAAGCAACATTTAAAGGATGAACAACATGTACAGAAAAATAAAGACGAATGAGTAACAAATTGCTGTATTGCTGAAAGAAATATGAAGAAAGCGTTACCGTGGGCACAGAATAGTGAGGGAGATGCTGAGGAAGAGTGGATGGATGGAGAACATAGAAGCCTCTGCACTACCAACCCCATCTGTAGGGCCCCATCAAAATGATTGATGAACATAGTGGAAAGGGAGCGCTACCTGTTTGATTGCCACAGGCTCTGAATAACGGACAACAGATGTGTCTGAAGATTAATAATCAAACCAGTTGGCACGACAAACTGCTTATTCACATTAAAATACAAATTTGGAATGAAGGCGAATAGTAAAAAAGTTGTGGCATATGTTTTCCCAAACTCTGATATTTGTTTTAATATATATTGCCAAGGCTAAAGCAATGAGGTCACTGGCCATAATCGATGTTAATTTTGCAACTAAGCATATTTGACTATGTTTTTGGTGCTTATTTATTTGAAACTTGCTGACATGATACTAATGTGGTGTTGGTAGTTGCTAAGGAGTTGCTAGCATTATATGGGTGGTTGTTAGAGGGTTTGTGACAGATGTTTAATTGCCTAGGTAACAAATTATGTGATGATTTGATTCCTGCACTTGTCTATTAATTATTTTCAGTAGCTGTGTAATTTGTTGGGTGAAAATGATTTAATCTCTTACAAAAGTAAAAGCAGGTTTATTAAGATGTTTACAGATATTTTATCTGTTTAAAGTTGGTCACCATTGTCACTTCAAACATCTCTAGTTGTTTGTTTGATCATAGATGAGGTTCTAAAAGCCAATTAACACATTGAAAGACTGAACTGGAAGTAAGCCAAGCAGAGCTGTGGGTATTGTGACGAAACGTCCTGGACTGTGCTCTTTTATTTTTTCTTTATTCCATCTCCAGATATGAGCTCTCCTCATGCCTCATAAATACTCTCATTCTCTCTGATTATCACTCTCTGCATCTTCCTTTCAATTGATTTACTCACAGGTCGTAATGTATTCTAATGCACTCTATTACTGTGACATTGTAGATGAGGAATCTTTCGCTGACATTGAAGTGGATGGTGATTAAGTGTTTTTCCTCCAACAACCGTCAATTAGCTTGTCAAAGTCACAAATCTAATCAACTCCCCATCTCCTAATGAAAAGAGACTACTCTGTTACTCTCTCCCGCTCGTATTCATTTATGCTCCTGCTTCACTCTCAGCAGAACGTTGCAATTTTTAACAGTGACTTTTCAGTAAAGCATCAGTGAGTCTTATTATTGCACTTTCAATAAAGATTTTTAGGACATGTTCAAATATTTTGATATACAACACCAAATAATCAAGGCTCTTTGGGCACTGTAAAGACATTATTAGTATCACAGAATAGGGATACTCTGATTAAATTAGATTACTAATATGTTCTTTTTATAGATAATGCTCATATTACCTTGGCATGTTTAAAATTTAAACACAAAGTCCCTGCATTTGGGATATCAATATTTCAACAGTGCACTAAAGCCAATAAAAGCCTTTGAAAAACCTAAACCTTTCAGCTAAGATCAGAGCAAGTGATGGGTTAAAGGAAAATTACCTCTTACCAGGCAGCTAATGAGATCTCTCACCTAAAGTCAGATCCTTATCTGGCAGAAAATAATGACACAGCCAAAATGTTAACATGTCTATAGTCCCCTTTGAGATCTAACGGTCCCTCGTTTTGCCAAGATGAGGAATTGGTGTCCTACATTTGGCCTAATAGCCCAGCTGTCAATATACTTATACAAGGCTCGACCTCAGACATGTGGGTCATGACAGTCAGAATGTTTGATAGTCTCTTTTTACAATGTTGATAGATAGATGCTCAATAAACGAGCTGTTCCTCTTGTGTGGTTTTCAAATGGAGCAACAATGACCTGTATTATTAACAAACATATTTATAGAAATTCACTCTGGGAATAAAATGCATGTGGGAATGACACTTTACTTTTTCACATTATGCAATAATGTTACATGTAAGTATATATATTTAGAGAGAGAGTTGTGTAAATGTAAGTGAATGTAAGTGGAATTAGGGTTGGGATTTCTACATAAATTTGACAGAAAATGTGTTCTGATCTTCATCTAACTGGAGGAAACTTTAAGTTGAGGATATTACTGCCAAAGGACAGTCAACCAGTTGTTAACCAAATGTTCACATGTTGTGTTTAATAAGAACATGTCAAGATATCATGTTTGTGAAGTATTAGTTTAAGCATAATGTGTTTTTCCTATTATTGTAACTTAGATGAAGATCAGTACACATTTTCTGTACAATTTATGTCCAAATCCCAGTAATCTCACATAGTTTTTTATTTTTTATTCTTTGCAACTATGGAAATTTATAATAGCACCATTATGCTGAGACATGGTAGTCTTCACTTAACATCACAAGATATATTTTATGGCACGTAAATTGCCAATTAAGTTGTTAAGTACTGTATGTTTTTTTAGCTACTACATCTGAATGCACCATAAATGCCTTCCTTTAACAGTGTTTAATGAATTGGCACTCAAGTGTTCCTTGTGTTAATGGTATGACACCAATGACAGCATGAAGATGCGAGAGATAGCACCATGCAAGTGCATTACAGATATGATGATAACTCTAATCGGCTGGATGTGCTGCGGCTTAGCATCCCAAGGAGCAAAGAATAAAAGGTGTTTGATCGCCTGACATGCACAGATGAAAATAAGCATCCTCGTGCACGCCTGTGTTTATATTCCAATCTTAGCAGCATATGATTTTACATGCTGGTGTCGGCATATTTTTTCCCAGACGCCGACTCTGTGTTCATAAATTAGCATGGCTTTGTTTTTGCTATAGGCAGGACTCGGCTGGCTCAGCTGGCTGTGCAGCTGATCATTATTCACCATAAGCATGCAGGCTTTGCTGCTCTGACAGAGAGCGGCCCAATTATCCCACTGAACCAAATCACTCACAGCTTCTCTCGCTGTCGCCCACCCCTCACACCGTCTCACAATCACTGACTCCTGCAGGTGCATGAACGAATCGGTTGCTGAGTCATTCTCCACTTCCTGTTGGATCGTACCAATGATGGAAATGCTCGGGGGGAGTGTGGCAGCTCTCCATGCTATTTTTATTTAATGGGAACGATTGCCTGTAACACTTCCCTGTCTCTTTACAGATCACCCCACTTCGAGGACCCCGTGAGGGGGGAACACTGGTGACTATCCGTGGGGAGAACCTGGGATTGGAGTTTAGTGAGATTAAAGATCATGTGAAGGTAGCAGATGTGGAATGTACACCAGTGCCTGAGGGGTATATCCCAGCAGAACAGTAAGTGTCTAAGTTCTGGAACACTTTCAGATATCTTGTAGACAGGTTTGACATTTTCTCATTTTGTAATGATGTGAATATTTTCTGATCTAATGACTAACTGAACTAAATGAGGCCATCTCACTTGAAACACCCATGAAGATTTGTTTTAGGCATCCAAACATTTGTTCTTTAGAGACACAGCTGAGTTTGCATAATGCAGGCCTATTACATTTGCCAAGAATACTGCATCTTTTAAAAGTGGCTAATGTGGATTGGCAGTAAACACAGTAAAGCATTAAAGAAACTTTTAATCTGAGGTCAGGATGGCTAAAGATAATTATGCACTATTTGGCAAGCATTCAAGAAAGCCCTGCTGACAGCAAAAATTCCCCAATATTATTGTCCTGGTCTGAAAAACCCAGTCTATCATTATTTGTTTCTTTGCTAGATGCCATGCCAACACAAGTTTATTTTTATATCAATCATGGAAGCATAAGGAAGCAGAATAACTCATTCATGTGAACTTTTTATCCCAAACATATATTATTATACAGTGCTTCCCACACATAGACTTTAAGTGGACAGGCCATCCTGGTAAATTAACGGTACTGATAACGAAACAGCCGCAATTGATTAACCAGTAGAAAATGTTCTCTCGTCCTACATGTTACATGTCTACTGCTCAGTCTGTGTGCGCGAGAAACTGAGAAAACTCCCCCACAATCTCATATGCTCTACAGAGACCCACATAATTAATGTTAAAGTCATAATTTGAATGCTTCACTTGTGATTTTTGTAGTATTGCAGAAATGTTCTAGTTGATTGATTGCATAATGGTGTGTTCTACAGGATTGTGTGTGAAATGGGAAAAGCGGAAAGAAGCCAGTTTGCAGGAAATGTTCAAGTGTGTGTTGGAGAGTGTCGTCCTGAATTCATGGCCAAGTCGTCTAAGTACTACTATTTTGTGGTGAGTACCTCAGAAAATCACTGGCTGTAAAATAACCCCCCATGACCTACTGGTCTGTCTACCCTGATCTCGATCGTGTCTGTATAATTATAAGGCTTTGCCACTTTAGGTCTGAAAGTGCCTGGATTTACTGTTGTGTCTATAATAAAGAGTGAACATTTGGCCTTGTAGCCCTGCTGATGTTCTTAGTCATATCAACAGGCACTTGACCCAGCCCAGTCAGCACCCAGAGAGGCTAACCAAAAAACTCGCATTCCACTGCTACTGTACACGACTGTTTCCTCCACACAGAATCATGTCCAGTTTTGCACAGGCATTATTGAATGTTTAACACAAATTTATTTAACACTTTCTTTGATATGGACCTTGATTTACACAAGTAAATGATTAATAAAACAGATTTAAGCTTAAATGTTTTATTATTTATTTGAGGATATTCAAGTGATTCAAATAAAAAAAGGTCATTATACAATCTAAGAGAAATTGGTTAGTCTTAAAGTGCCTGTCAACTGGAAGATCAGATAATTGAATATAGGCTGTGATTTTATTTTAGCACTCCTTCTCTCATTTGCAGGTAGTGGTTAAGGATTTTCTGTCATCGGAGAAGCAATGCCAGTGCAGAAAGCAGATTTTCCCATTTTTAATAAATAAAAGAAATTATAATTGTTCTTGCAAAGACTAATTGTAATGCAAAGAATAGCGATGTGCAGTATATATTACCATACAAGATGATTTTATTTTATCGACAAATTAAAAATATCATTCGGCAGGTATGATAATATGATATATGATCTTGCCAGAAAGTAGCCACACTTATTTTTATATCCATCCTACACTTCTCTTTCTTCTAGTACCCCCATTGCAGATGCTGATATAAAAACCCATAATCAGATTGCCATCCAGTCATACAAATGAATTGAGCCTCAGTGTAATATTTCCCATTATAGAGACATTTTATAGCGTTTATCAGTTTTATGCAAAACATTAATGGCTTTTATGTCTCATTCTAATGTAGTAATTGGATTATGCGATTCTTGGGTGATGAGGGCAATTGGTGTTTAGAGAAAAAAAGAGGTGATAATCAGATTGGGAAAGAGATACGGCGAAGGGAAAAACAAGAGGGATTGCTGCCTCACCTCTGTTGTGTGATGTGTGTGTGCTTGTAAATAGCTCCCATTGATTGTTTTAATCTTGATTTCTACAGATCCCTCAACTGTTGAGTCTGAAGCCAAGCCGAGGGCCAGTATCTGGGGGAACCATCGTCAACATCACTGGCGGCAACCTGGACGCAGGAAGCAATGTGTCAATCATGTTCAAAGACCAGAAGTGCACTTATCAAAGGTATGGTTGGAATGGAATGCTGCAGTTCAGTGCCCTTTTACAGTATGTGTCGACATACTTTTTTCTTCCTGTGGATGCATAATGCCAGTAGTAATCTTAGGAGCTTGAACTTTTCTGATCTTTAATCAGTAACATCAATATTTCAAGCATCTATTCTTGCTAAGATGCAACCACAGTGTCTGATCATAGCATAATTTGAATTTAGGTTTAGTATTTTGAGTGGGAATATTTTGAGTGGGAATATAAAATACTTTACATTGTTGAATCAACAGTTGAGTTTTAATATCTTAGGATATTATCCTACTCTTTAGATACCCAAAAAAACAATCAATGTTTTTTTTTTTTGTTTGATGACACAGGAGAGGAGGACAGTGGATAACATGTCGTTCTCATGCATCCATGCAAGGCTATGGAAATGTATCTGTATCAGTGTATGTGGATAAAGCCCACATTCACAAAGATCTAAAGTTTGAGTATGTTGAAGATCCCACCATCACCAAACTAGAACCCGAGTGGAGCATTTTCAGGTATGTGTTTTGCAAATCCAACTAATCTGGTTTCTAATTATTTTACTGAAAGTTATTGAAGTAAAATGAACACTTTAACTAATCTAGGAAGTTTTTGCCAAGTAGAGAAATAACAAATATTGTGTTGTTTTCACAGTGGCAACACACCACTGACAGTGTCAGGGACAAACCTGGACATCATCCATACTCCTCTCATCAGAGCCAAGTATAAGAATTTGGAAACAATCAATGTAAGTGCAAAAGTTTTTCACACAGTAAACGATCACTCAGCATTCACCTAACCTAAGGCAAGTGAACTGGAATGACCATTAGCAGACTATTCCCCCTGCTCCAATCACCTGTGTCGGCTGCGCACTATTGGATACAGGACAGTAGCTGCATAAAAGAGGGAAATAAGGAGAGAGGCAGACAAAGAAACAGACAGAGAACAGGAAGACTGCCAGGTCCCAGCAGCAGTAGCAGCAATGTTTCCTTTGTGCAGGAAAGAGGAGAATGTCGTAACACAGGGCGAATGCATAGACAAGGGTATTATGTTTCCCGTCTTCAGAATGGACCCAAAGAGCCATGGGAGGCTGCACTCAGTGAGATCTGATTGAAAGGCAATAGAGACAAAAGAACGTAATGTTATCTTGTGCACGTATCTCACACATGGCCGCGTTTAGCATCTGGGCTGCGATATGATTAGGCTTTGGCACTGTTCCTCAAAGCACAGCAGAAAAAGGCATATCCTATCTTGCAGTCTCTAAATAAAGTTGTCTGTGAGACACAAGGCATCTTATATGCTTGTTTGTGCTATAATTGTTCCGAAGTTTGAAAAGAGTTTGACCTCATTTGTTGAATTAGTGACCTGAAATCTATTTTATCTTGAACAAATCCATCTGTTGTGACCTTCTATAGAAGTCTTTGTGTTAAAGGAAGTGAAGCTCTGTCTTCCTGGCTGTTACAGCTTGTAAGGAATCCAATTAAAATGACTGTAGATATCTGTTGGCATGTTTCTGATGGCGAGTCAGCTGCCTGGGTATTTCCACTACTATTTAAACTCAAATGCAGTGTGGGTTCACAAAACTCAAGGTCATTGTAGATTTACTTCAAAATGGATGCATAGATAGGTCTGAATAAAGGTATGTGCTACCTTTACATTTAATAAACCTGACCTCTAAATTAAAAAGATGAAAAAAAGAAATGGGCAGAGAAACACTGACTTCCTGTAAATAATGTGTTTAAAAATTAGATTATCTTCTCAAAGGTCTGCTAAATGGATTTAACTGAGGAAAGACAGGGTAACAGAGAGATGACAATGTCAACTGCTCTCTCTACAAAGCAAAGATGATGGTAGTAATTCTTTAGTGAGTCACCAGAACGGCAGGTACAGAGTATGGCCTTTTAAAAAGTGCTTGGAATTGTGTAACTTTGAGACAAATAACATCTACATGTACTCCTGCAGCCTCTATTGTAGCAACTCAGGAATGACCAATCAAACCAATCTTAATCTAAAATGTGCATTTATTGTTAATCTAAATCTTAATGTTTTTATTTACTCTAAATTGCACATGGACTGCATATTATTTATTGTACATTCATTTCCCTTTACCAGATATGTCAGGTTTTGAGTCCAACCACTATGCAGTGCATGGCCCCAGAGCTTCCCTACAGTATCAGCAAGCACAAGGATGTTCCAGAAAGACCCGATGAGTTTGGCTTCATCCTGGACAATGTTCAGTCTGTGCTGGCCCTCAACAACACCAACTTTGTATACTACCCAAATCCTGTGTTCGAACCTCTCAGTGTGTCTGGGGTTCAGGAGCTCAAGCCAGGGTCTCCCATCATACTGAAGGTAAACCAAAAGCTCACCAAAATTTGTGCGACATCTCTTTAAATTGTCAGTTTCAGCTATTAGAGATTTTTGTGAATTTTAATTTCAGGGCAGGAACTTCCTACCTCCCACGCCTGGTGGCAATGGGAAGCTCAACTACACTGTTCTGATTGGAGACAAACCTTGTGCATTAACTGTGTCAGATACTCAACTGCTCTGTGAATCACCTAATCTTACTGGACGCCACAAGGTTCTGGTAAGTTGCTGAATGCTGTGGCTCATATCCATTTTTTTTTTTTTTTTTTTTTTTTTTTTTTTGCAGTGAACACATCCTTTAGGGACTGTGTTTATTGTACTTTCTGAGAGGCTGACAGAGAAAAAAAATACCTCCAGAGTAAGAGTTATAAGAGCTGAAAAACCTACTAAACAAGTTTTATGCTTCTCACTGGGAACTCTGGAAGGTTGCCCACTTCACTGCCTGTTTGTTGACAGTCGTAGAACAGTGGCACCATTACAACCATGAACAGAACAGAAAAATCTCCTTCTGCTTATGAACCATTGTTCTTATTATCAGAATGTAACATCAAATAATATTGCATTTCTCCATTGATAAATTTGAATCAGTGAATGATAGCTTAGGTTTAGTAATGCAAGTTTTTGGTACAGCGCTTCATATATTTCATTAAAAAGGTTTACAAAATCTGCTTCATTTTAGGCACGTGTGGGTGGCATTGAGTTTTCTCCAGGTGTGGTCCACATCACCTCTGACAGCCCCCTCAGCAGCACTGCTGTCATCAGCATTGCTGGGGCAGGAGGCCTTCTCATCTTTTTCATCGTCATAGTCTTAATTGCCTACAAGCGCAAGTCCCGTGAGAGTGACCTCACCCTCAAACGCCTGCAGATGCAGATGGACAACCTGGAGTCTAGAGTAGCCCTAGAGTGTAAAGAGGGTAAGTGGTCTCTAGGGGAAGTGGTTTGTCAATTGAGAATATAAGACTTGCTTGAACTTTAAAATTTAATAAGCAATGAAAAATGCTAAATCATTCCTAAACCAAAGCCTATTTGTTCATGGTACTGTGGATTTTTTGCAGCATTCGCTGAGCTGCAAACGGACATTCATGAGTTGACCAGTGATCTGGATGGAGCTGGTATACCATTTCTGGACTATCGCACATATACAATGCGGGTTCTGTTTCCTGGAATCGAGGAGCACCCTGTCCTTAGAGACCTGGAGGTATCCTAACATTTTTTACTGATGTTTTGTGCAATGCTCAATTTGCATTCAAAGAGCCCTTTGCTGAGTTTTTGAGATGTACATGCATATATTTACATATTTCTGTATGCATGTAATTACTGCACATTGTACCTGTGCGAGGAACAGTCACATAATGGCTGCTAAGTATTTTCTTTCTGTTTTTCGGGACTGAAAGACTAACGGCTCAGTGGGGTTGTTGGGAATTAAAGCTGTCACTGTGCTGTTTGTGTTCACCCTCAGTAAACAATAGGCAGCAGCTCTCATTATAATCTACATGCAGTCTTTTTCTCTCTAGCTCACAATTTTTTTTTTAAAGTAATGAGCTGCTCTCTGATTCACAATCAGTCTTTCGTTAATAACAGTAATGACATGTGACACAATTGTTTTGTTTTTTTTCTGAGTGAGGGGAACAGAATTAAAATCTAATGCAGCATACACCATGCTACAGGTTATTTATGCCCTGCAAAGACAGTGATGGACAGTTCTAATTGAATCACACACGTTTCTTCAGCCAGAATACAAACCATACCTTACCTGCTTATTGCAAATGAGCTCTGCTTCTAATCAGCTATATCAATTAAGCCTTAATTGGAATTAACATCCCCTCTCTCTGGAAAAGTTTATAGTAAAATCACAGCTAATGACAGGAGCTGTCTAGAGATTCTGACAGGTATTTAATGGTTATTGATGAGACAGATTGCATCAAATGACACTATGGGGTCTCTGCCTGGTTAAGTGTTTGTCATTTGGAATTCTAGGCATATAATGAATGCATCTTAACCCGGTAAGCAGATGTTATTAGATTCAATTTGAGCTGTTCATCTGCATCCTGATTTGTTTGTCTTTAGGTTTCTTTTTTATTTGTTAAATATATTTGGTCCTCTTCAGTTTAAATGCCTGTGGGTGTTTCATTGGACACTAGCTGGGATTGCCATAGGCTAATTGATAGGGCTGGAAAAAGCTTCCAATACAAATAACCCAAGTTGGAGCCTAAGTGAGCATTCTTAACACGTGACATTGAAGACATTTATTTAGGTCTAAAGATATCTAAAGTCAGCAATGCTAACATTGAATGTATTTATCTGTGAAAAATAAAACGAGACCATTGTGCATTAGGAAAGTTGATGATGTTGGTTTAGATTTGATTGATTGAGTAATTTGTTTTTCCCTCAGGTGCCAGGTTACAGACAGGAGCAGGTGGAGAAGGGGCTAAAACTGTTTGGACAACTTATCAACAACAAGGTTTTCCTGCTGTCTTTCATCCGAACACTGGAGTCTCAGAGAGGCTTCTCCATGCGAGACCGTGGCAATGTCGCCTCCTTGATCATGACCGTTTTGCAAAGTAAACTGGAGTATGCGACCGACGTACTCAAACACCTGTTGTCTGACCTCATTGACAAGAACCTGGAAAGCAAAAACCATCCCAAACTACTGCTAAGAAGGTACTAGACACATTCACATGAAGAGCCATTTCAGTAATCTAGTACTGCAGTCCAGTGGGTTTTACTGATTATAAATGCCCCCCAAGTGAGCGTAATCAACAGAGCACATGTTCTAAATTTTAGGTTCATTTCAATCTGCCTGATTCTAATTATAGTAAACTACATAGATGGGAGCAGATGACCTCTGTGAATTGTCTTTGGTATTAGCACTGTGCAGTACGCTCAATAGGAATAATGGCTCTTGGGGACATTAAAATGCACACTTTCTCTCCCAAACATGAAATGCGCTGACATGCTCATCATTAAATTGTAATTAGAATTAATTAGCTTGAGATCCAATTAACAGTGCACTAAAAACCTACTGAATATAGGGAGATATGTGAAACTCAATTCCCCATGCAATCAACTCCTTTGTATCTCTGTATTCTAACAGCACAGAGGACAACATTATTTCTGTCATATTGATTTTTCTTGTCATTTGGATTCTGCAATGTTTATTTGACTTTTGTTTTTCTTAATATTCTAGTAGTCAATTTGTAATTACCTCATTTTTAAATATTTTGCTAAATTAAGCTACTCGGATACAAATAATAGGGACTCTTCCTGTTTACTGAGCAAAAAAACAATACTGAAGAATGTGTTAGTCAAAACAGCAACAGGCTGATCATGTGACATATGCAAGAGGAGCTCCCTTGCTGAATCATAACTGATTCAACACACTTGATGGCAGCCATGATTAACTGAAACCAGCAAAGGGATGATTAACTGCACACAGAACTGTTATACATAATAGCAGTGATTTTTCTCCCTCAGTCAGGCTCCTGTTTAGAGAGAATTCAAGTAACTGACAGTTCGTAGGCTACAATGACCCTTCATGACCTGTGACTGAACTGGTTTAGTTTCAGGATCCAGCTAATATTTTTATGTAACAAATATCCCTAAAGTATAAATAACCAGCTACTGCCCTAACCCAACAGTATGCTACAATAGTGAATGTTACGGATTTAACAAATATCAAAGCATTTTTTTTTCCCCGACTGATTTTTGGCTGTTGACAATTCCTCTTTGGTCAATGATATACTTATGTGGGTTAAACCTTCATGGATATATAGAGCAAGCTTCACCACATAAAACCTGTCCAACCTCCAGTACCTGCTTAGCAAAGTACAGAGCACTGCGCCAGAACAGAGAAGCTTAATCTGTTGTCAGAGAATAAATTTCTTTCACTGCATGATTTCTAAATCTGTGTTTAAAATGCAGAGAAGCAGGACATCTTTGGCAAAAGCCTCCAACCAGCTTTCCTTTTCCCATTTCCAAGAAAGCGCCTGCAATGGCCACCCCATCTGTCCAGCCTCAACCTGAGTTCACAAGCACACACAGGCTAACTAACTAACGGGCGGCTTCAAGAACCATCTGTCGTATTCCTCCTTCTCCCTCACTCCCTGCAGCCCACTCTCCTCGTCTATGATTAAAAATAACCTCTGAAATCATGCAGCTTATTTTCTCTATATATATGGCATCTGTAAAGTCCACTTAGGTCCCTGCATATACCCACATGCTTATTTTACTGACCAACACATTCAAATTCAGGTGCTTTACACACACACAGTCAGGCAGAGCTGAATAGAAGTCCTCTGATTATTCTCTGGGGATAATCCTCTGTGAAGGGGGACCATGGTTACGCAGCAGGACCCAATAGTGCACCGGGCGGACAATCTTCTCCACGTGAGGCGGAGTGCGAAATTGAAATTATTCCTGGCTTCAAGCTGTGTTCTTTTACACATATGCATTAAGGAGGGGGCATACCAGGGGTTTGTTTCAACAAACGATTGTGTTGGTTAAGAAAATAATGCCTATCATGCTGCAAGGTGCATAACATCAGCCCATTAACCAGGTGTGTATTTATGTGTGTGTTTCTGGCCACCTTTTAACTGAAGCATAGTTTCAATTTCATAGCAGACTGAGGCTAAAATCCTTGCTCAGTCAACGCCACATGCTTAGCCACACTTAAATCAATTAACTTGTTTATGATATGCATTTTCTGCATATAACACACATTTGTAGTGCAGAATCTGTCATAGAGTGACAGTTCTCATTTTTGCAGGGGCTCTAGAATCATAAACCACTCTCAGGTCCTCGACGTTGGCGGAGCTGGCTGTTCACATCCATTTGCGGTGGCAGAAAGCAGCATCAAATGTAAATGACCATTACTGGATGCAAGAGATGATGGGAAAGATATATGGAGCTCTCCTCTCTTCCTCTTTCTCTTGTTTATGCTCCAATATGCCTCTTTGCACATTTACCGTAGAGGAATCCTCCTGCAGATTTTACTTTATTCCACTTTGAAATAGCTGTTTAATCAGGGGGAACCTGAACCACTGGTTGGGCATCACTTTTCCTGCCATCCTAAACCAAAGCCAAATAAGTGTTGGCTCTTGGTGCCAGTGATATGTGACATACGGATTTGGGGGACAGTGAGAGTTGGTTGCTCTTGGCGCTGTGGCAATGTTATGGAGAGGTTGTGCCAGGATTGTCTGGCAACAAGGCTACTTATTCTCCTGCCGGGGAGCCAAGAGGTAACACAGGATATGTGTGAGTTTATGGAGTCTTGCCAATAAAAATTACCATCAAACCAGCGAACTGTACAAGAAAAAGAATGTGAATAGGAAGTGACAAAAAAAATGTGGTGAAAAGGTTTCTCACTTTGTGGTTTCCTTTCTTAAACAGTTTTTTTACAATATGATCTACTGTATCTCTGGGTTTCCCCCACCTACCGTTACTCTTGTAATTGGTCCAGGCATTGAGAATCAGTCGGGAGTGAGGATGATTACAGGGCAGTGTTAGGATGGAGATGAAAGGAAAGATGAAACGTGACCCCGTTGACCTCTGGACCTGTTCTCTTTTGGCCAGCCCAAGGCAGTGGCTACAAAACAAGGGGACACTAATCCTTTCCAGGTGTTGCACCAGCTTAGCGGGCACATGCAGGCACACATACATGCACATGTACACACAGTACTGCGCAGTGGCAGGTCTTTGCAAGGCAGCGGGAAAGACGGAATGCAGGTGGCAGCTGGGATGCAGGGCAGCAAAGGAGGTGTAGACCCACACACACACACACACACACACACACACACACCACAATGCTGTAATCCTGAAATATTGATGCTTTGTGCCATGGCTCATTGCATGGTGCCTTGGCAATTTACCAGCTCCCTGTGGCACACACAGACTGGAGACACCAGAGCCTCATATATTGGGTTTCACTTTGTTACACATATTATGTATGTACATCTCTCATGCTGGATCAGAGTCTGTGGTCCAAGCAAAGGTGTTAGCCAGTCATGATGCACTCCTACACAACCTGGCCATCCATTCATCCACCATCTATTGTAAAGATATCCATTTCGTGCTCAATAGCCAGACTGTGGAGGGGGGAGAAATTAGTACGGTCCTATTCCAGGCCAGAGCAGGTTCACTTGGCTTGATTCCAGCCAGATCATATAAAGGCTTTTAATTGGGTTTCTTGTGTTAGGGTCTGATGGATTATTGTGGTAATAAAGACAGCCTGCAGATTGGGGCTATAGATTCCAGAGTGCATTTCATGTTCCGGCAATTATGTTTGTTTAACAAAGTCCTATTCATTAGGAGACACCGTGCTTTGTGAAGTGAATTTTGCATGGTCTTGGTAATCGCATTTGTGCGTGACACTCGCAGTGATAATCGTGGCTTTGTGCTGCATTTGAATTATTTATTTACTCTGTTTGTTTGTTTGTTTTTCAGAACCGAGTCTGTGGCTGAGAAAATGCTCACAAATTGGTTCACCTTTCTGCTGTACAAATTCCTCAAGGTAAGTCTGCTGTTTGCATTTAGATACATGTGTGTTGCCACATGATCAGCTTTAAGCAGCCCATATGAAATAATTACAAAATTAGCCATTGAAAGTGCATATCGGTCAACCACTAATCAGAATATTCATCAGCAAAGAAAAAAATCAGTCACCTTCAAGGTCATTAGGCACATGCACTGTTGAGCACAGAGGAGTCAAGTGAAGTCCTGCGGGAGTATTGGCAATAATGCACTGCAGGTGTTTGAGAGAGTGAGAGAGAGAGAGAGTAGAGAGAGAGAGTCTTGTGTAAGAATATGTGTAGATGTGAATGTACATCTCTATGTGAGTGTGCCTGCATGCACTTTTAATCAAAGAGGGTTTAAAGTTGGCCAAGTCTTGCTGACTCTGGCATTTTGTGTTCCTGTAATGAGACAGTCGGCTTAGCAGGTGCTTCTCAATTCTACATATAGCAATGTGGCCGTCAGCACCACCGTGGTCCTCTCAGCCACTTGTCATTAATCTCTTAATAAACACATCTGCTGCAATCAGAACATGGCATGTGCAGTTTCGCCCGTGAACAGAAATTTCTGGAATGTATGATGCTGGCAGTAAATTCTGGTAGTCCAGGCTGTTTTGTCCAGTCTGGTTTAAAAGATTAGACCTGAGTGAATGAAGCTGAAACATCACTCAAGGGCTTCAGGATTCATTTAAGCTCAAATTGGACTTTTTTTGTAAAAGAAGAACTTTATTGTGACCTCATCCATGCAAAACCATAACATTATTATTGTAGTCACAGCACATTGATTTTAGTGTTATTGGACAGTGCTTGACTAGCTGCCCAGATCACTAGTCTGTTCATTTCTCATGTCAAAAAACATATTTTCCCCAAAATCAGCTACAGACACTACACTTCAGTACCTTTCGTTTATCGTTTGACTTTGATGTCAGTGAGCATGTGTGTGTTACAGAAATTAAAAATAGAAACTAAATTTTTAGTAAATTAAGATGTAATAGCCATTTGATATCAGTAATGGTTATTTTATTGGCTTTTCAATGTAACAGTAATCATGGCTGAGTAAATAAACACATTAATGATGTACTCAAAATTTTATTTAAGCTAGACTAATTGGTAAAGCATATAATGTGTAACTGTGAATTGTTGCTCAGTCTCTTTCTATCCACCAAGGGGACATTTGCCTGAAAAAGAATGAAGACAATCATGGGATCTCTCATGGAGTGAAATTGTAGCATAAGTTGATATTGTCACGGTAGTGCCACAACTGTTAAGCTCCATTCAAAATATTTATTGCTGTTACTGAATGTGGAAATGACATCCCACATTCTCTGTAGGTGGCTGGTGTGAAATTTAAGAGTGAAAATGACAGAGTGCCTTTTTTTCTTTGTGTAGGAGTGTGCCGGGGAGCCCCTCTTCTCTCTTTTCTGTGCCATAAAGCAACAGATGGAAAAAGGTCCCATCGACTCCATCACCGGCGAAGCCCGCTACTCACTCAGTGAAGACAAGCTCATCAGACAGCAAATTGATTACAAGACTCTGGTAAGACTCAATGTGGACGAGCAAGCTGAAAAGAAAAGGAGAAAAGGATTAGGATAAATGAGTGTAGAAAAGACCAAGTAATGTGAAAGTATTCAGAAGCAGACAGGTGTGGAGGCAGAGAGAAGGGTAAGGTGATTTGTTTAGGTTGACGCAGCATGCGATGCCTACACTCTTCATGGTTGACAGGGAACACGCAGGCTTGTTTTGACCTTTGACCTGTCTGTCGCCCTGTGGTGATTGGCAGTGTTGTGTTTGGCAGGCCACTGTGACAGGCATGAGCTCAGCTCGTGTTTTCAGGGCTGCACGAATGCCAAGTCGGACTGTTTACTAGGACAGCACATTAGGAGGGTAATTTGTATTCTGTGTGAGACTGAAGAGAGAAAAAGAAAGAGGGGGGAATGTGGCGACTAGTGTCATTCTTTGGCGTTTGGCCCATTCCTTTGAACACTGCACTGATTTGATGACTGTAGGAGCCATTTCAGCTTCATCCTTCTGTCCTCACTTCCAAAACACTTAAATAGCTGCACACTCTCCACAAAATATAAGCCACTACCAATAGCACACTGTGCCTTCTCTTTCACAGTATGGAGTTTATCATCTATTATTATCTATTGACGATCAGCTTCCAGAATCTTTTACTCATTTGTGCTACATGCTTTTTTAATAAAGTTCTAAAATTTGTTGCATATTGCTAATTTTGGTAGTGTACTTCCTGGTACATCATGAGGACTGGATTAAAGTTTGTTCTTATTTTCATCATGAAAGGCTTTTCTAAAATGCGTTGTAGTCCACAATGGGGCTTAGTGTCGGCCTTTATTGTTTACTGTTTATTCTGTGGGGAAACACTCTCAATCCCTTCTAAAGGTCTGACAAACCCTTTCCTTGCAGCCCACACACAGTGCATTTAATTGTATTGATTCTGGTTTGGGTCCTTCAGGAGAGTCCATTATACAGCTGGACTGTAAGTAAATGAGCTCGCTTGCAGTGTGCAGTTATTTCATCATAACTGAGAATGAGGGCCTTCACAGCCACTATATGCACTCCCCAATTGCGTTTTATTTTTCGCCCGAACTATCCAATTATCTCTGATGATGGTGACAGCGGCACTAATGGTGCCGTTAATGACTGCTATCATTGGAGAGTCTAAAAGGAACTAAGATCAGGAAAATTTGTGTTTTAATTGCAGATTGGTGCAAGCTAAGGTAAGTGAGGTGAAGACACCATCTGTGTGGCCAATAGGCTTCATGCTTGTGTCATTATTGTGCTGACTAAGTTCACTCGTTCAGAAATGCAGCATATAAGTTTGACCAGACGATTGACCACAGTCATCAATATGTAAGGTTGTGTGTAGATGACAGATCATTCATTCTGAGAACAATTTCATTGTTACTTATTCTCCAAGCTTGATTAAACCCTTAACATGTGCTTTCTTGATGAGGAAATATTTGTTATTGGTAATCAGTTTACATACACAGGTACATTTTAACCTTCTTTATAATCATCTGGTACACAATACATGCAAAAAGATCACTGTACAGCCACATGAATATTCATGTATCACTGAGGTTTGCTAATTGGAGTCAATCTGTTCTGTTGTGTAGGTGGTGAACTGCATGCATCCAGACAATGAGAAGAGTCCAGAGGTGCAGGTGAAGGTGCTAAACTGTGACACTGTCAGTCAGGTGAAGGAGAAGATCTTGGACGCCATCTACAAAAATGTCCCTTACTCACACCGACCAAAGGCCTCTGACATGGATTTGGGTATGACTACAAGTATACTAAAATTACATGCCTTCATTTGCATTTAACATTTGTGGGTCGATAAATGTGCATTCATTTTACCAATACTGTTCTACAGCCTTTGATTCACACTCAAGCAAAGAATCTATTATCTATCATTTAACAGATGGGATCTTGGGTAACATGATAGAGCAGGGGTTCTCAAACTCCAACTTGCCTCAACACACATGCAAGGATGTTTTTAAAAAGCCTAGTAAGAGCTTGATTAGCAATTCCAATTGTGTCTGACTAGAGTTGGAACTAAACTTTGCAGGACACTGGCCCTCCAGGACTGAGATTTGGAACCCCTGTGATAGAGGATCCATTTGTAATGGTTATTAATTATACCTTAAGAGATTCAAAACAATGGCTGTATGCTCAAATCATAAAAAATAAATACTTTAAATATATTAATTGGCAGACATTTTATCACCCAAATGAGAAGAGCTTAACAGCTTCCGCAATCACACAATGCCCGCTGAGGATTTGTTTCACCTCTGGGATTTTGAACTTTAGACAAGTAAAGTTTTACACACACATCTTACTCACAACTGCTCTTACTTGCCAGGTGCCTTCTTCACTTTTAAGTACATTATTGTCCTATAAAGTCTACCTCAAGCACACAAGAATTAAGTGTCTTGCTCCTTTTCTCAGGTCATAGTCTTGCTGAAAAGTGATAGAACATGCCATAGAACTATTGATTCCATTCACAGACATGTTTGAGTTATAAAACAAGTAACTTTTAACATTGTCAGCCGGGTTTTAAATCCTCCAACAGCCAAAGCTAAGCTTCCTGTTGAAATGGATCAATTGTCCAAAAGTAATAATAATCTCTTTAAAAGACAAGTGTTTTTATTTTAATTTTTTCCCCACAGAATTGTAGACTTCCCGGTGACCCTTCTGATGATTACCTCAGCATTTTATTCAATGAGTTGAATATATTGCACATATGTTATCTCTGACAAAAGATTCATTTGTACACACCTAATTGACATGCAAAAAATAGCCAGACTGATCAGTATTTCAACACGTTTCAAAAGAGAATCAGAATTTTTATGCAGTACTCTCCTCGTTCCTCAATTTTTTTCAAAAGGCATATTTCTCTAGATATAGCCTAACGCTAGCCTACCCATAAGGGAATGAAACCATGATAAGTGAAGAAATAATTTTACCCTCTTTGACAGGCTCTCCTGTGTAAAATGCCTTTATGGGCCCCGGAGGGCAAGCATGTTGTTTTATTATTGTTTTATTAGGGGGGAGAATTGGACAGTGTCTGAGAGAGTGTGTGCGACTGTGTTGTAAGATAAAGCAATGGACGTCTCTGCAAGAGAGGAGGCATCTCAGCATTCCGTAAACGGATCTTTGGGTCTCCTGAGCCCAGCACACACTCTGGCCCTGATCCACGGGCCAGATAAAGATAATGGGTAATAGGAATGAGGTAGCCTCCATCTCCTCGATCCCTCCGAGACAGATTGGACCAGAGTGTTTCTGTCCCTTGCCTTTGTTTTTAATTCTCTCTGCCACAGTCCCCTGAGGACAGGGATCGAGAAAGGGAAGACAGAGGGAAAGAATGAGAGAGTGATGCAGACAAATCAATGCACTTCAGCCCATTTCAGTCTCTATTTTAACAATCGTGTAGATTTTTTTTTCTCTCTCTCTCTATCCAGCTACATCCTGCTGCCATTGTTTTCAAAGAGATTGCTTCTGTTCTATTGCGTTTTCATTTTGTTTCTTATTTTAGTCTGGTCAAAGTTTTAAGGTTTAAAGTTCATATTATTTTTGTAGTTTTCAATCTTTCTTTTCTTTTAGTCTATTTTCTTATTTTTTGTTTTCTTTTCATTTATTTTGCTTTTATTTTCTGATCTTCTCTCTGTTAGTTTACTCTGTTCGCAACTTCGAGTCGAAGCTCATTTGCATGTTTATAGACAGCACTGTCGTGAGATATAAAACAATAGTCGTCCCTCTCCTGGAGATTTGAAGTTATTCTCATCACCCAGAGACACGTTTCATCATTCTGCCTATGATTGCTGTTTTGCTTTTCTGGTTGGGATCAGAGCAAAAAAGAGCAGCAGGCGGCATGAAGAGGCCTCACTCCTTTAGTGTTCCAATCATATATTCATTTGCAGCCGAGGAGAGTCCAAAAAAAAAGAGAAAGACGTCCCTCTTGTTCCTGGCCATGTTATCCGTGCATCACATTGCAAAAGGATATGTTTATTTCATTCAGAGCTGATTCCCATCTCATCAGACTTGCTGTTTTTGCTGAGGCTGCAGACAGCTGCTGGTGGGTGCTGATGGCTGTGGGGAGGATGAGAGTATACTTGGCATTTTGTTGTGCATCTCTAGTCAGCTCAGTAACTACAATAAGAGCAAGCTCAGCGGGAGGCTTAACGCGGTCGATCAGGGCCGTTTGGGCTCGGGATGCTCGACCCACTACAGATGAAAAAGGAAGTGACTTTCAGCAGTGGCTGTAATCACGCCCATCGATCCACTGGCCACGAAGGCCCGGCTCTCTAACAAAGGGCAGAAGAGATTAATTTACCTTTCCTTTCCTTCCTCAAATGCTGCTTCACAAACCCTTTTTTTCTCTCTCGATTTCATTTATTTTTTTTCTTTTCTCTCTCAGAATACAGACTCTGTCCCTTGCCTATTATATTGTTCCTGTTTTAGCTAAGTGTGGTAATTAATTCAATTTTTTCTATCAAACAAGTGTAGAAGCATAATTACAATTACTATATGCTGCAAATTCCAGTAAACTACCACCACAAGAGGTTTTTGGCAAAAGAATCTAATGTTGCTTTGTACACTGAAAATAAATGTAAAATATTAACCGTTATTTTTCATAAAGCAGAACAAAAATTTAAATGATTGCTGCACTTTTAAAATACCAAGTATTAACACTGAGTTTAACTTTGTTTGTTTGCAGAGTGGCGTCAAGGAAGAGTAGTAAGAGTCATTCTTCAGGATGAGGATGTTACCACAAAGATCGAAGCTGACTGGAAAAGACTCAACATGCTGTCTCACTACCAGGTAAAATCAATGCCAGACATATTTCCAGGAAAACTCATACATGTAATGAGGTGTTCAGTGAGCAGATTTGTCATGCATGAAGTGTAGAGACATTAATGCTTAAGATCAGTGGAAAACAGTATACTTCTGTCATATGTACCATCATAGGTTTTTGTTTAGTTGGCTGTTTGCTGTTTCATAATGTGCTTCAACGATGGATTTGAGCCTTTGAGCCAATCTTAAATCAGGAGGAGGACAAGCATTGTACCTGCTGGTTTCTATTTAAAGCAGCATCTGCAGATGTCCCAGTACATTTTGTCTGACAGCAGTGGGATGCAGGTGCAGGTGGAGCTGAAGCCTGACAGATAGGTTAGATGATCCAGCAAAAGACTTTTAATAAACAGCTCTGTGTGATCTGAGTTGTGGCGTAGGCTTTGTCAGAATTTATGCTTCTATTGATAGACACTAATACTGGAGCAAAGAGATGTAATTCGAGATTAATGTCTTTTTGAATCTCAGAAGTATAATGATCTATTCATGTTTGTCTCTGTTGTATCAAAGAATCGTCAAAAGGTGTTAAGCAAAAAGGCAGAGCAGAGGATGTAATTTATAATGGTAATGTGTCTGAGTTGATTAGTTGAGAGTTTAAGAGTTTGCACACTGTTATGCAGCTTAGTCCTATCAAGCAGCCCTATGCCCCAGCTAATTTCAATTAATAGGGTGCAGTCCAAGCACTTCCAGGTCATTTTGAAAACTGACTCTGATTGACAGATCTCCAATGTTTTGGACGAGGACCATTGAGTTCCAGTAGTCAGGTATGGCGACGTCTCTGCAGGGGACTGATAGCATCTGTCTAACTGCAATTATATAAACTCTCGAAGTCTGACAATCCCAGACCTATCTGTCTGGCCAGGTGGGGCAGTTTAGGGTGGAGAGGAGACAGGCGCTGCTTCATTACGGTGTAAATAATTTCCCCGGTAAGCCACCCTCTGAATGAGCTTTTTGAGAGAGAGGAGTCGGCACAGTACTTAAATTAAATGTCACGGAGTGGCGCATGGGTGCAGGGCTGCAAGCGGCAGGATGGATTAGCTGTTGATTGGAATCGGAGATGAGATAATGAAGACAGAAGTTAATTCATTTTTGGTCGGGGAGGGCATGCTATCCTTGACAAAAAAGCTATCAGACACCCTAAAGCAGGTCGCACACCAGAAGTGCCGCTTGGCGACGCGCCCCGCCATGCATTTTAGAATTCTAAACATAGGTTTCTATTAGGGTATACACACCAGCATCGCAAGTCAGCGGCTGTCGGCGGCGCCCACCAATGACTCAAGTCGCAGTTCAATTTTCAGCCGCGCCACAGAGCGCCATCTGATTAGTTTCATGTAAAATATTATGCGAATGTGCGCGTCTGGTGTGTGATACTTTAAACTGTCATGTGCGCGCCGTGTCGTGACGCCGAGCGGCGCTTCTGGTGTGCGACCCGCTTAAGCCTGTTAAAGTTGCTGAAAAAGTGGAAGACCCCCCCTTTCCATTTCCTTCCTTGCCACAAATATGTATTTGTTCTTTTTGTAAAAGCTCAGAATTCCTTGATTTATTATAGTACACAATCTGGAAAGTCTGAGTCAAAGTCTGATTTATCTGTTACAAAGGATCCACTGTGCATTTCTAATGTATATCTTGAGTCATCATTGATTCTTTCCTCCAAATCGAGATACTACAAATGTATCTGGTTCTGACTTTAATTCTTTGAAGTCTTCTTGGGAAGCTTCGCATTGGGGTTGTATAATCCCCATCCCAAAAATTTGACATGTCTGAATGCTATCAGGAACACAGAGGCTCTCTTAAAGCGTAAACTTGCCCGCAGAGGAAAGATAAAAGAGAAAATCTCTGCTGTTTTCTAAAAAGCCCCTTTTCAGGGAAATATAGCCCTTGTCTGAAGTCTCCTTTCACACAGTATTCATCTATACTGAGAAGTAAAGAAATATCTGTTTGAGTCTGCTGAAATTTGGACAGCTGTCCTCATGGGCCAAGGCTGTAAACCAGGACAACTTCATCCTGAGCTTCTTCGTCCAAGGAGAAAAGATGTTCAGGGTTTGAGAATAATGTCCTAATGCTCTGTAAAGCTCATGTTCTCCCTCTCACTGTGGTATGGGTCCCTGTACAGTTCTGAGCCCACACCATCTAGATCAACCATCACCTCAATTAACCCCATAAGTGCCACAGGCATCCAATAGCAAATTATGTAGATGGAGGGATATCTCATAAGGGAGTAGAGGCCCCCATGTGTTAATTGAATTTGGCTTGCTGAGGCTTACTGTGGTTAGCAATTGCTCAGGCATATAGTTAAATAGCTTGGCCTATCCCAGCAGAAGAAACTTACTAAAATAAAAGACGATTATCACATCTTATCCCTCACTCATGCAGTTACACATTTACCTGGATGTGAAACAAGGGGTTTTAACCCTAGTTAACCGTCATGATGCTGAAAACATTACACATCTTGACATGGACAGCCTGATGTAAGGATGTGTTTTGTGGTTTTTGTAAGCTGTCTAAAATAATTCTTGTTTTTGTGCCCACAGGTGACTGATAATGCTGTGGTAGCCCTTGTACCAAAGCAGGTCACTGCATACAACTCTGTGAATAACTCAACTGTCTCCAGAACCTCTGCTAGCAAATATGGTTCGTCAACACCTTTTATTCCTTTTCTAATTCTCACAATGTACAGCACGATATGGGAAATATTTAATAATCAATTGACTCAAGTCTCTAGAGCAGTGCAAAGTAACATTCCACCTTAGCTGCACTAAGAATCAAAAAAAGAAGTTTAAAAACGGTCCTGTCATCTCTTAGGAAGGCAAGAGAAAAGTAGAAGTTAAATGTGTAGCATCTTAGCTGCTCACAAAAGAGAACAGGAACTGAGCTCAAACGGAATTACGTGAGATAGTCGGGCAGCATACAAAGGTAAAAGCAGGGAAAATGAGTCTCTTTGCACTTGACTTCCCTCCTGAGACTCTGAATCCGTCCCTGTCATTCCCCCGCCATCAGTCCCTCGTACGATTGGGTCTGATAAAGCTCAAGATCAAAGCTCAGGCCCGTCCGAGCACTCCCCCTACACATCAAATAGACCATTAAAATCATCTCATCTCCATATACTATCCTGCACTCTAAATGAGCCTTAAAGAAGAGAGTGAGTGTGACAGATGGGAAAGACAGCAAAAAAATGCCACACATCACTTCACTCTTTTAGAAATCTTCTTCAAACAGGTCAAGAAAGAGAGCCGTTTTAAACCACCTGGGCATAATGAAAAGATATTTTGCAAGTATTTTGTGTGGCTGCCACAATTTAATTAATCTCATGTCCTCTAAATATAGCCTACATTCACAAGGGTTTACTAGTTTGGTTCAAACAGCATATGTCAACCAAACACACTCTCAGAGTCCTGCTTATTTATTAATAACAAATTCATTGTTTGGCATTTCAAACAGCAAATAATTCTTAGGAAGTGTTAATGTAGTTAAATTCAGATCAGCGCCAATTCATTAAATATAAGCATACTCCCATAACCCCTTCTCTCAATTCTTTTTAGTCTTCCTCTGTTTTTGTCTTTCTTTATGTTCCTCTTCTCTATCTGCCTCTTTCTTTTAGTGAGATTGATTTTTGTTGCATCTGCCACTGTGAATCGTTTTTTTATCTTACCAAATCAGGCTTTTGCCAATCAATTTTTTTTTCACACTGTGTAAACATTCATCGAGCTCTGTTTTTTTAAATGCCATGGCTGATCTCTCCCTATTGGCTGAAGCATGAATATTTCATCTGGCCTGACACCTGTTCGATTTTGTGTCCACCAAAGAGAGCAAACACGCACGTTTGCTGGAGAGAGAGCAATAGAGAAAGGGATGAAAAATTAAGCATCCACACATTCTAAATGATTCAGATCCAATCTTGAGTACTGTACAACAACAAAAAAGCCATTGAGTTTCACACATATAAGAACAGATACGAACAGACGCATGGGACATTTGTCATGAGGGAGAATGAGGAACTGCCATCTGATTGGGTCTTTGTCTTTTCACTACCGCAGAAAACATGATCAAGTACACAGGCAGTCCGGACAGCCTGCGTTCCCGCACACCCATGATCACACCTGACCTGGAAAGCGGTGTTAAGGTATGGCATCTGGTGAAAAACCATGAGCATGGAGACCAGAAGGAGGGAGACCGTGGAAGCAAGATGGTCTCAGAGATCTACCTAACCAGACTGTTGGCCACCAAGGTAAGCTCTGCTGCCATGTTTGATATTTTAGGCAATAGACATGTGCAGACTGAATGACAGAAGTTGTCAACACATCTGATACTTCCAGAAACATAAATCCAAGTAGATTCAAGAGCCCAATGTGTCAAACGGTTCTATTTATGCTGTTTGTTTCAAACTGCAGTTGGTCTGTTTTCGTCATTAGTTTCACACTGGCTGACTTGATGTCAAAGCATCAACAAAGCTGGTAAAGAGATGCTTGTATTGGTCTGAATACAAATTCTTTAGTGCTTTCAGCATTTTGCTTCAAGACATTAGTAAGTTGAGGAAATTAAATAGGTTTTGTCTGATTAGGTGAATATCACTATTAATATTACTCTGTTCAAATCTATAACCCTTAGTATTTATCTTTAGCACTGAACTAATCCTGTATTGTAACCTCAAATCATACTATAATGAACACAGATCCGCCATTATTTTTGTAAGTGACTGGATAGTCTATAAATGGACAATCGTCTCTGGTTAAAATTGGATGTGAAGCCCCTATCCATGTTTCCTCGGAAGGAAACAAAGTTTCTGGGACAAAAATATGCTATTTGCAGAGCTTTAAGTGATTCTGACCACCAAGAAACATTCCTGGTGTACCCAAGCAGGTGTGTCAAAAAATTTTTAACAGACACAAGCACAAATGCCCTGGTGATTACCCTACTCGGTTGCAGGCTGTGTGTCATATTTTTAGATGGATTATTTCTGTGAAATAACCAGTTTATCGCAGACACCATCTCTCTTGGTGAAAAATGATTGGTGTGACAGCACTGTAATTGACTGTTTGGCTTTCACCCCTGCAATAAATACTAGTGATCTGCCTGGGGTGTCGACGCTTTCTGCATTCGGTCCATCAGTGTCTCTGAGGACTGGTGAGCTTTACCTTTTTTTCCATCTTCCCCCATTATGCGAGGCTTTATTCATTTAATCTTTCTTCCTCTCTCGTTCTTGGCTTTCTGCAATTTTCCGCTCTCTTTCTGTTTGCAATTACACAAATGTTCTTTCCTTACCTGTCCAGGACGAGATCACTTGAAGCTTAATGCTTCTCTGACTGCCAGCCTGTGTCTGATAGCATGCTTTTAAGTGCGCTGTAATGACCAGGTACATTTCAAACGCCCGCAAATAGCCACTTTGGTTTCTGGGCGACTAATGATGATGTTAGTCGTCACACAAGATGACACCTGTCAGAACCTTCGCAGTCATCCCTGTCGCCAACCTCCTGCAGCTGTCGCTGCGTTGATACAGGGCGCGGGTGAGAAATATGTATTTTCATCTTCATAGGGAAAAGATAAGCTGTCAGGGATCTGGGACGCAGTAGAATTATTGTTGTGATTGTCAGCTAACTGGATTTTTTTTCTTCTTCCTTGCCGTCTCTTGCCATCTGCTCAACGGAAATAGGATTTTGTGTGCTGTGCCTTGTGCACACCTCATCCGGATGCGAAGCTGGTGCTGACTGAAAGATACGAGCGCTGCTTTTTGATACTCTCCCCTCTCTCTCTCTCTTTCTCTCTTCCATGTATCCTATCAATTCTTTCATTACAAGTGGATTAGATTCTGTCGTCTTCTCTCCTTCTTAGACTCATCGCCATTAAATCAAATTAGGGTCAATGGTGCGGGTTGGACGTTAATCCGTCCGCACAAAGCAGCTTAGGCAGAATCCCTTCCTTTACGTGATATTAAAGGTGAACTTCAAAGTAGCACTTTTACTATCAAATAGCTTCTTGATTCAGGAACGCCGGTTTCATTGGTTGGATTACTGACAGGTGGTCCACAAATGTATTCACAAACAGACAAACACAGCTCTTGTGATGTGTGTTCAAGTTAATGTTAAATTAATTAAAGCACAGGACTAAGAAGAAGGGGTGGGATGGATGAACACTAACCCTCTACTCTTTGTGGTTCCTCAGGGCACTCTGCAAAAGTTTGTGGATGACCTGTTTGAGACCATCTTCAGCACAGCACACAGAGGAAGTGCTCTTCCTCTCGCTATCAAGTACATGTTTGACTTCCTGGATGAGCAGGCCGACAAGCACAACATTCATGACCCGCACGTCAGACACACATGGAAGAGCAACTGGTAAGATGCCTCAAACATTTATATTCATTACTGTATTCTAGGGAAAGCAGGGCATGTTTATTTATATAGCACATTTCAAGCACAATGATAATTCAAAGCGCTTTACATATACAATAATAGAAGAAATATAAAATACAATTATAAGGAATAAAAACAATGAATAATGAAATGATTATAAGCTTATTACAAATGTGTTAAAAGGAAAAGAAAGATGCAAATAGTGTGATCTATTGGATGTAACACAATGCTCATTCAGTAAAGGCACAGCTAAACAGTTGTGTTTTAAGTCTTGATTTGAATGTGCCTGCATTTGTAGCACATCTGATCATTTCCGGAATTTCTGAAAGCAGAGATTGTAATATTACTGATGTATCTCTTACTATGCATGTGAATATGGCAATGACTATGGGAGAAATTAATAACGCTAGATTCCAAAATTAATTTCACCCAACCAATTTAGAGGCATGTCTCTGGTGGAAGGGGGTTGTGGGGGTTAAATAAACAACTAGCGCATCTAGTGAGAAAGGAAGAGGGTATGAGATGAGGGGTGGAGTGGATGAGAGGGGGAAAGAAAGCTTGGCATTACATTTAATGAGTACTAATATATCATTAGCCTCTGCCAGCATCTCATCACGCACCACCCCAAAAGGGCTATGAGGGATGAAGCGATGATATTGATGTGAGGGCACGGCAGGGAGGCAGTGGGTACAGTCCCCTATTTACTCTGTTTTATAGACCTAATTTCCCCCCATCTCCCTCAGCATGTTTCAGGGCCATTTGAGAGCGTTAAGTGTTTTTGGAGAGCACAGAGGGTCACTCTTGCATTACACATTAATGGAATCGTTCTCACAAAGAGCGGAACGTTAAATGGCGATTTATCATCTCACACTCATTGCGGGGCATTATAGCCCCATGCCACTGCGGCATCTGTGATTTTTTTAATGTACGTGAGAGGGTCTTCTACAGGACTAATGCATTGCTAGCCAGCTTTTTGCTGACAACTAATGCCTCAGACAAAGAATGAAATGACTCCATTTTCAGATATTGTGCACAAAACAACAGGCTCAGCTTTATCTGTATGGTTAGATGTGCTGCTGCCACCACACAGGCCGTTAATTGGACTATTGCTGTGGGTGGGGCATCTTTGCAGTCTGTAGAGGATTTTAGCACTCTAGAGCTAAATGGTTTTGGCTGAGAAAGCTCAGGCATAATCACTATTTTGTTTACAGCCTGTTAATATTTGCTCATCAATTCTCTTTACCTGTTATAACTGCTTTTAAAGGGAAAGTGAAATAATTTGTGCAGTGTGCACTGAGGGGTTTCTCTTTTATTATTGATTTTGCAAATGCAAGTTTTTAGACAATTCAGACAGTTAAGATGCCCATGTCTTTTCCTTAACCTTATTCTTTATTTGATTGTGTCTTAAGCAAGCACTACTTTTATATTTAGAGCAAGAATAAAATCTAGACCACCCAAATAAAATATTTGATCAAAAAAACGAATCCCCTGCAGCGCTGTTTAATCAAGCAAATTTTAACCTTTTTAAAGAGCTGAATAAGCCCATTGTATAAGCAATGTTATCAGTGGATGAAATATTTGAATATTAAATCCCCTACACATATAAATTAGCTTTTATCAAACTCTAAAGAATCAATTTAGACAAATCAAAACGTAAATGATGGATTCCCCTGTTTTGTTAAAATTTTCTTCTTCAAATGCATCAAAGGATGCCTTAATCAGATCTTTACCCAAAGCCAGGCAGAGATGGATTGCTGATAGACAAGGCTCTTGTGAATCATCCATCATGTCATTGTCTATCTTGTGACTGGGCGAGCATTGGGCGGTACAGCTTGCCAATCAGAATAAAAGCAGTCAATGCAGGGATACAGATAATCAAAACAGTTTGTTTGGCTTGGGTAATTTAACTCTCCTAATTGAGCTACTTGAAATGCAGATGACTAGAATTAATGCTATCGCTTTAGAACTCAAGGGGGGTTCACACACACAAGGACTCACAATGACAGAATAGTGGGTGCCATTTTCTACCATGAAATCCAGATTTATGCATAGTTCAACTCTGCAGGTGCTCAGTAATTCTTAGCAACAACCAATAAGTGCTGTCCTATACTGCAGTCAACCAAATCAAGCAAACAACAGTACAGTGATTTGGTGACCTCCAGTTGTCAGTGTGAATACTATTACACACTATAGACTCACTCTCTGTCATTTTCAAGCCATGTTAATGGCTATTGTCAAGAACAGATGAGCAGAAGTACTTCGTTTTTAATATGTAATACACATTTACTGTTCAGGCAGGAATATCTGTAATCTGTAATTTAGTCTGAGGGCAAAAGATTTCCCAATGCAGATTTAAGTAGTGACGTTGGGGTAGATGTGCTGCTTGGTTTGAAAGTGAAAGCTGTACTTAAAGCATCTCTATATTAAGAACAACTTCTAATTCTTGCTTTTATGACTCCACCTTTATAATCCTGTAGAACTAGGCAGGTTTAACGTTGACTTATCGTCAATCAGACACGTTTCTAGATAAACCTCTTGAAATAACTAGTCAGACATGGAGAAATATGGGATACACTACTTTAGGCAATCTTTTATATCAATTTGCCTATTTCTGGACATAAAACTAAGATTCCCTAGTACATCAGAACCATTTTGCACATTACAATACTTTCTACCTTTACACAAAAAACAGGCAGAAGAAAGCCAAAAGATGGGTTCTAGCTGAAGAATGTAAGGCTTTTCCCAGAGAGAGCTCCACTGAGCCGAGTGCTATATTTAGCTGGGATCTAGTCCATCCAGACATCATTCCCATCGCCTGATCCACTCACTCACTCGGCTGAGAGCTCTCTCTAAAGTATGGTGCTTTAGACACGTTCTGCTTTTTGTTCTGTACAGAGAATACAATCTTCTCAGAGGCCAGCTGTGGCAGGTTTATGAGGGTGTCGACTGGTTGTTAAAGCATTGATATCCTTTTGATAGAGCGCAGATAATCCCAGTTGATTCTCTCTGATTAATTTGGGAGTAATAATACGTGGTTTGCTCCCCAAATCCTCTTTGGTGCAGTTGTTATTGTTAAATGAATTCGGAGGGCAATAGAGAGGGGGCCGCTATGGAAAAGCTTTTGTTGACTGTTTTCTTTCTCTCTTTCCCTTTGATGTGAAACTCTGCGTCCGTTTCACTGCAGTGTCCTTTCTTATTCCCTCATCTCTTCTCCTCAGTTTTGTTATCTAAGACAAAACCAAAGCTGTCTCGAAAATTAATGAGAACTCTGCAGTCTCAGACATACGCATAAAGTCTCAGACCAAACACCATCTGTGACCCTAGAGATGCACGCGCACACACACACCAGGGCCTCGGCTGAGTTGATTTCACTTTGGTGCAAATGGGCCAGCGTATATAGTAGCCTTGTATACATTTATTGTTTTAGACAGGTGCACGATTGCTGGGCGGAACAGAGATAGAAACAAACTAATATGAGATGTATCAGTAAAATACCCTTGAGTGTGCCACAAATATTTTTGCTATCATTAGAAAAACGGACTGTGCACATCTAAATAAACTGATATAATTTATTAATATCAATCAATATACATTTAAGATGAAAAAACGGTTTTAAAAAGACAGCATCCTATTCTGCAACTGCTTTTTATGCATTAAAAGAGCTTTTGGAAAAAAAAAAACATAACCTATTCTCTGATTTCCACAGTCTACCTCTACGATTCTGGGTGAACGTTATTAAGAATCCACAGTTTGTGTTTGACATCCATAAGAGCAGCATCACGGACGCCTGTCTGTCTGTGGTGGCACAGACCTTCATGGATTCATGCTCGACGTCAGAGCACCGTCTGGGCAAAGACTCCCCCTCCAACAAGCTGCTGTACGCCAAGGACATTCCCAGCTACAAAAGCTGGGTGGAGAGGTGAGCAAAAACATGTCTATGTTTCAGATTTACCTTCTTTATAGTCCTTACAAAGTGATTGAACAGTCAAACCCTTGTCAAACTTGTCAATCACAATCTGAAAGACCATCTCAGCCCGACAAACCCAAAGGAGCAGACTTTCCGTGGCCTGCTTGATTTCTGTTTACAATCGCTCTAGAATGACTTGAAATAATAAATTATACCATTCTCTGACCCATCTAGGTATGTGGCTTAGGTAATTGCAAATATTCTTCAGAAATAGTTTTGAAGGATCATTTCCAATCCTGGGAATTAACCCTTATATGAGGCGGTACATTATCCCTATTTTTGTAATGGTTGTGGATATTAATGAGCTCTGCACTAATGCAGAAAATCAGTTGTGAATTTGTAAATATTTTTAATTAGAGATGCAAAGATATTTACATGGGTAACAGTGTGAATAAAAGCAAAGAGTTGTATTGTGTCCTGCAGGTATTGTGTGAGTGTGTTTAGCTGCTGGTAATCAGACTGAAGTGTGTAGTAGAGCTCCAGGATGATGAATTGCAGCTCTATTGTAGTTCACTAGATCTTCTGGGTCTACCCAACACTGCACCAGAGCAATTAGTCAATGTTTGGTGAGAGAGGCAAACTTTTCTGCTTTTCCCACAATCCTCTGGGTCAGAGGCTTTACGTTTAACAATGCCAAGAAAGAAGAATCTTGGGTAAATAAAGCCATCGTCCTACATGCAATGACTGTAAAAGAGCTTTCTATGATTCCATTGTTTTCTAAAGACAACAGCTCTATTCACATAGCAAGTGCATTGCGCAGCGTTGGTCTACCACCACCCTTTAGTAAACAGAGCTGATAAAACTCATCAGTGCCGCGTGTCTCGGCTAACACACACTGGCCCTCAGTCTCTGACGAACGTCTTTATTTGCCGTGAGGTATTAGCGTCTACTGGAAAAGATGGGTAGCTGGCAGACGAGCTTGATAGGGAAAATGATAAGACTGTAATCATGCTGCCAGCTCACATTAACCACAAAACAGCTGAGATGGAGGGAAAAGCTCATTTTCATGCATTAGCTAATGTGTTACATGTCTTTAAGGACTGAGATCATGCTAAAATGTGCCTACTGAGGTGAAAAGGCCTCCTTTAATTAAAGGTGCTGGCATCTATGTGTTTAAACCAGGTAATCTACATTCTCAGCTATACATTCTACCTTCTCAGTTACAGCTCTCACGTTGCTCACTAATTGGTTTTATTTTGGTTATATCCTGCAAGCTGACAGATCTGTGAAGGTTGGGATAATTGTTTTTGTTGTTTTCAGATCATTTGGAGAGATGTATAGATTAGAGACTTTTTTGATCTCCAGCTACTGTGGCTAGTTGTTTTTCAAAATGTATGACATTGCTTATGCAATGGGTTGTGGTTCCATTGTCACATTCTAATCTGATTATTTCTTACCCAAAAATTCTAAATAATGTGTCAAAACAAATAAAACACAGCTGTATACAGACACTTTTTATTAAGTCTTTTGTGGTTATGTCTATTAATAATCTGTTCAAAGAAAAATTAAAGTGAAAGAGGCAACCCTGCTTTAAAAAAAACCTACAATTTAAAAAATTATTTTCAACCAGCTAGTGGGAGTGGCTGTCTTACCTGCCACAGCTGAATTCTACCCGCATTTGGCAGCTGTTAATGTCAAGTCCTGATTAGAGATGTGTACTGTGCTGGGACAGACACGTATTCGGGACTGCAGAGCTCGTAAAGAGAGCCAGGCAACAATTACCCAGCAAAAAAGACAGCAAGAAAGCGGTTGAGTCAAGGACATGTGGTGAAGTGCTGCCTTTGATCCTCTATGCCTTTATAAATGCAGGGGTTGACCTGTTTTGGGGAAGATATAAATGGAGCAGGGGGTGCTGAATTCGGAGTCCTAGCTACCATACCCATGGGAACATTTGTACTTTTTCCCTGAAATGAAAAACCCTCAAATATCAGAACTTTGTATACATCTTATAGAAGAAAACATTATTGCCAGTCATCCCTTAATCCTACTCCATTCCTAAAATGTATAGCACCTTTCTAATTATTTATAAGAAGCTATTTTTGAGGCAAAAATCTTGGTGGGTAGTTGATTAGTAGTGTGAACTGGTCCCCAAAATGTGACATATAAATATATTAATTACAGTCTCAAAATAGTTGTTAATTATAATCTCTGTTAAATAAATGTATTTTTAAATGCCATTTCTACTTCATTATTATAAAGTCATGGTCATTCGTTGGTCAAACAGTGTAGCACTTCCATATTTAGACATTTGCAATACATTCACGATGAAAGGGAATAACCAGCATGGACTCATTCTGGCTGACGAACAGCTGACATTTAAACATGGTCTTAATTAGTGCCAGGCGAGCTGCCAGTCATTAGCCCTGGGAAGCTGCGGATACAGAGAGAGAAGCTAAACTAAAATGTGTGAACTCATCTTTGGATTCTATCTCTCACTAGAGAATAGACTCCTTTAGGATGGACATACCTAGGAATATTAACCTCTGCCTATCTGTCTTATTCAACATCATGCCATTCTCCTCCACTGATGCCCCATGGTGCATTGCAGCACGTACCTGCCACTCAATGCTGCTCACGGGAGCCTGAAACAGACATGCTTGCCGCCAGTTAGGTGGTGAATGTGTTGAGTCCAGGAGTTGGCATGGTGCAGGAATTAAAAATGTAAATGACCTGCCTTAATTAAAGAGTCGACAGAGCCTCTGCAGCTGCAGGTGACAGTGACTGATTGCTTTTCCTCCACCAACACTCTTTCACTCACTCTCATGAACCAGCTACCCAAACCCAACAGATCATATTGCTCCGTTCCAAATCCTACTGAGCTGCCTACAGAGACGGCATTTTAAGGCATCGTGGGTGCTCACAATGCATGAAGGCTGTTCCAAAAGATAGGCATGTTAATTACAGTATACTAAGATACCCTATAGCATCAAATGTATCCTTTATGTTAAGTAAAAAAATCCAAGATGGTGAATGCAGCAACAGATATGGGTAATATAATTAACATATTTCGTTAAAAACTAAGATTATGGATAATAATTTGTGTAAAGTGTGTTTTTACTCTTATTTGAATGTCACATCATTACCTTAGCAACTTGTCTCAAACTTAATTGCAAGATGCAGAAATATTTTGGCCAAGTACAGTGCTCAAAGCCTTGAATGAGGCTCTGTTATGTTTGGAATAGAGTCTATGTAGGCAGCAGTTTTGTAACTGTTTGCTTCTACAGTAAGTGTGGGCTTTTATATGTGTGTGCCGTTTGTTTGTATTTAGTGTTAGCATATGTGTGGAGCAGATATATTGAATGCTCCAGCATCCTATAGATTCTGCTGATCTCTGGAAAAATTTCAAGGACAGCGGCTCATTAAGTCTCAGTCACTCACTGATGTAAGCCGCAGCTGTACTGCCACTGAAAGTAAATGCTGAACTGATTGTAAGGGGAGGGACAGCTCTCGGTCAGTGGCAGAAAGGACCATGAAGCATTATTCTACATTAAATTAAAAATAGGTTTCATGATCAAACCCTGTCACCACTAGTTCATGCTTTAGGTATTCTTTAAAGAATTGGTGCTATTTATCAAATTCTGTGTTTTTTAACAGATACTACTCCGACATTAGTAAGATGCCGGCCATCAGTGACCAGGATATGAATGCATATCTGGCAGAGCAGTCCCGCATGCACATGAATGAGTTCAACACCATGAGCTCCCTCAGCGAGATCTACTCTTACATTGGCAAATATACAGAGGAGGTATTGAGAACACTTTCTAACATAATACATTATCATCATCATCATCATCTAATGTAAATGCATTGCATTTAGATAAAAGCCAAGTAAATAAAATACCAAAGAAATGTGCGAATGAATGGAATATGTGGTACTTGAAGGCATGTTTAACTGATGTGTAATCTCCCTTTGGTAGATTGTGTCTGCACTAGAGCAGGATGATGGTGCCAGGAAACAGAGACTGGCCTATAAGCTGGAGCAGGTGGTCGCCTTCATGAGCCTGGAGAGCTGAGAACCACATTTCCCAGAGTGCACTGGGAGATCCATCAGAAACCAAGCCGTGCCTGAGTGAAGACCTATCCATCTATCTCATCTCTTCTGTTTGCAATCTTCCCACAAAAAAAAGTGTTTGCATCATATTAGTTCTGCTTCCTAGAAGAGTAGAGATGGGAACTGGATGGTGGGTGGAGGAGCCAAGGACTACATTACCCATGATGCAGTAGAGTGGGTGGCCATCCAGCTCTGCTGTGTAGAGAAGGGGTGGCTGCCTATGAGTTCCACTTCACTGCATCCTCCATCCTTCTCCCTGACTGGAAAAGAAAAAAAAACATTTCTGTTGCCTTCAAAGTTTAGCTGATAAGCAGAAACCACAATGTTTGGTGTCAATTTGTTCTGACTTTTATGACTAGGGTAGTGTGCGACACTAATATAGTGTCCAGTTCATTGTAGTACCTTTATTAAACACTGAAACGCAAGATGAAAAAATGGTACGGCATGCATCTGAAGAATGCAGACCATTTGGGCCATTTCAAAAGACACAAACACATTGAGGATGCTGGATTTACGGGACATGCAAGATCATATATAAGCTTTGATAAGAGAATCAAGCCTGGAGGTCCAACCTGCTTAACCTTACTTCAAAGACAGTAAGGTGTATTTAAAACCTTTGGGGCACCGCAGGACACAAGTTAGTGCTTCAATACTCTTGTCTCTTCCAGGACCTTACTAGAAAGCGAAACTGAAAGACAAGACCTTTCATCTTGTGGTATACCCACATCTTCACCACTTCAACCCCAGCCTTCATTTTGGCATCTATCCGGCTTGTGCACATCTGAATTTAACCTCTCTTATCTATATGAGTGGAGGAAAGCCAAGGTTCAATTCCCTTAGAAGCAAGCACACATACACACACCTCTGCCAGAGAGCGACACCTTCTCTCTGTACTTCAGCGAGGTTCCCAGGACCTACGCTGTGCTGCAAGAGGACTAAGAAATCTTTACAAAAAAAGCACACATTAAATAGGTGTCTCAGTTCACACATCCTGTAGGGGGACTTTAATTGCAACATATTCTACTCAGAATTAGCTGTTAATGGGGGGAAATGGTGCATTATTGAAAATGCACAAATGCAGCCTGCACTGTTGACTGCCACAGGGTCCCACCCTTAACGAACACTCTGGAAGCCTCTAGAAAAACCCACACGTGGACAAAGTTGGTCAGCGGAAAACCAAAGGAGCCCAATTTAAAAAGAGCAAAGTGAATAAATTACCCTGCGAAGTAAACACAAGGCAATGGTTGTTTTATGACCTGCAGTGTAAAGCTATTGCTTTATCTGCAGCCCCATATTTGTTTCTGTCCATTATGCTCTGCACAATACAGAGCCTGTACTTACCCTTGCGTGTCCAAGTTTAGTTATTGCACAACTGGGAGGGCAGAAAGAAATCCCGATCTGAAGCTTAAGGGCTTGCTGTAGTTTAAATGTGCCAGCGGCCTTGAGGGATGACTCCTACCTGGGCTTAGTGACTCCAAAAGAAAACGGACAGTCAGATGAGGATGTAAAAAAGTATTGGATGTAACTTTGACAAAGGGAAAGAGACAATTTAGCTGCCCACCTCTCTTCTGTCCTCGGACCCCTTCTTTCCCCTTGACAGCGTGCCCTATGTGGTGATGTTAATGTGTGGAGAATCAGCCCAGGTCCACCTTGGGTGCTTTATTGGCTTTTTCAGCGCATGTATTTCAATTTAAACTTAAAAAAAAGAAAAAAGGAAAACAGAAAAAAATAAGCCTTGCAATTGATGATGTGGATGTGTTCTTTTCTTTCTTTTGCTTGGAAGAACGAGATGGTAAAAAGTGGCTGTCATCTTCAAAACTGCAACCTCTGTTAAGGTGGAACCTTTATCCTGCCCTTTCATTCAACTGCCATAGCCATGTTTTGTGAATGTGTTAGATGCTGATAAGATTAAGGTGAAACCTTAAGCAAATATAGTATATACCCTTGCATGCTGACCTATTTGGATGATATGAAATGAACTGCCTTGCTATCAATTTATCTAATACTACTAGTAATTTCTAAACTGAACCAAACTCTTGTTAGACATTCATCAGACTCCTTTGCTCTTCCTGTCAGGTGGATGGTCTTTCTCAAAAGACGTCCACCTGAGAGTTTTCATTCACCTATAACATTTATACTGAACTAATGTGACCACAACATTACATGCCAATCCAAAGCTAACATGCTATTTGGTGATCCTCACAACATTTGATTTGTTGGGCGTCTTTAACGTGCAGCTATAAAGACTTATATTATATAACTGTTTTTTTTCTATAATTTTTCAGAATTCCATTAGCTTTCCACAAGTTTATTTTTTAATGTTGTTTAGGAAATTGTCTTTGTATGTGTGATAGCTTTGGGTTCCCTTGTGTTATTTTTCAGCATAGCTAAGTAACAGGATTGTGTTGAGGTATTTCAGGATTTCAGGTACACGGCTGCCCCCAACTAATGAGATAAACCATAAAGTAAATATAATGATAGAATGAGAAGTCGTCAGAGGTCCTAAATGAGCAGCTCACAATTAAATTTAAAAAGCTGATATGTTCCTGGATTCCCTCATGGCTCTGATCCTTGTTATGTACCATGTTTCATCTCTTGTGTACATTTAACAGAACGACACCCCCATCCTTTTTTTGTTCAAAAGACCTGATAAAGTTTCCACCTTAAACATTTTGTAAGAACTAGCTCAGTGTTACAGCAGGCTTTACAGAGACCTGTTCAAATAGACTTTTTAATATTTCCAGATTTGATGCAAGATGAGTTATCCTGATGGGAGGAGAGAAAGAGAGAGACCAGCGGAAAGGCAAGCTTCTCTAACTTTGTTATAATTAATTGTATACCTGTGTATGTAAATATAATGCATTCCTATTTTGCAGTCAAGAACAAAATACTATTTGTAATATAGAATAAACTTTATTATGAAAAAGATGGAGTCTTTCTTGCTCATTTTGTGTCTCTACCTTGCTTTGAATTAGCTTAATGAAGTCAGAGAAGTCAGCGTTTCCATGGAAACAGAAATTGCGGAAACAGAAGAGCTCTGCAGCGGCCGCTCCCACAAAAGCCTGTTCTTCCCCCAACTCTCCAAACTACTCCAACTAAACAAACTTTTTCCAACAAGGCTTTATATGAAAAGAATATAAGCTATAAAAACACTGAAGAGACAGCGCAAGGAGAAATTTGTGCACACCAATATCTAATCTAAAGAAATAGGGTTTCAACCTCCATGTCTACTGCTCTAAACTGCACCTTGCTATCTATTCCACCTTCAATAACAATAGAGCCTTTTTACAACCATCATCTTGCAGAAAAACAAAAACTCAGACTTTAACCTCCTGATGTCTCACAATGCCAGAGGGCTCAATTGCCAACCTTTATTACATTTCATCTCATTGCACTGTAACGCTTCTCTCAGTTAACGAGAAACTGTTTCCCTCCACAACTCCAGTACGTTTCCTCTGACCTTTCAGCATTTGTCTCTGGGCTCTCTTACAGGAAGTCTAGAGTGAGATGACCATTTTAAAACCTCTTCACAAAAATGTCACCTCACAACAGGTGCTAAAAGCGTCTACCCTTGTTGACTGATTTCTTGCCTTATAACCTTGAGCACAAGGTCACCATAACAGCAAGAATTTATGAAACGGTGGTCTAGCTGGTATCTCCCTAAAAAAAACAGAATAAAAAAATCTAGTGCTTATATTTCAATCAGCCAGTTTGTATTTCTTAGAATCTATTAATTCCACAACATTCCAGCAGAATTCTTTCCAGCTGCATATACATTGCAGGGCTGCTAATAAGAATGCAGTGTGAACGATGGTGGACTAATTCCTGGGATTGACTAAAAAAGGTATTGACAGCTGCGGGGGAGCAGATGGAAGCAATTAGCATTATTAGTTGGTTGTGCTTTGTCCTATCTGTCTAAGTAAACATCTGTGAAAAGACAACAGATCCGGCAAATGCTCCCAACGAGTAAACAGAGAAAACTAAACAGTGAATTCATCTCAACTGAACAGAGATGCAGCAGACAGCAGTGAGATCAGCCATCCACACCTACACAAAACACTGAACAGTTTCAAAATAAATATGATGAAAATACCAACATGGTGTCTGTGCCCATCTGGAGGAAGGGGACTTGATCACTATCTAATTCACAAGATATGGTCCAAAACGTAAAGTTCAGAAAAAAGACAACAGAATAAGAGCACCTAAATTTCTAAAATAATGCTGAATTCCTTGTGGTGTTACTTGTTTTTTCAAAAATTATTTCACGAGGTGAAGATGAACCTGGGAAAGCACATAGCTGTACCCATCCACTGTAAATTTCAGCATCAGTGATAGAGCAGCAGTGCCCTCTCTTTACTAAACACAACCCTTCCAAAACTATGGATACAGTCATTTTCAATTTCCAAACATTGAGTATTAGGCTTTTAGATGCTGCTATGAAATCAATTACCAGCCCAGGTTCATTTTTTTAAATGGATTTCATCATGTGTGCAGTGATGCCTAATTTTCCAATAAATGTGTGACGCTCTAGCAAACGCATGTTTCATATGAGGAAAAATTGACTGTGGCACTGACAATGTTCAAGTTGTAATTGCATTGATATGTTTGCATGTCTCCAACACAACTGGCTGTTTAATAATCAAATTCATGTTCTGTTGTTAGGTGAGGCCTGACATAAGCATGCTCACAAGTGCATCTACTAGTCTAAAACAGACTATTAGATTCAATTAGAATATTTATATTTTTTTCTAGCAAATGTTTTTTAATTGGTAGTTTGTAACCTTAAAGGGATTACATAAAGGCATTTTGCATATTCAGCTAAATTCAGTGTGCAATGTTGCTGTTTGAGTACAAAAAATATCATTAAAAGTGATCATTAAAGTCATTTTCGGCCATCTGGAAGCCAGTAAAGGGCTGGGCGGTTAATCATATAAAAATAGCAAGTGTGACTGAGCAAAGCTGCAATTGTTGTGAACATCTCAAGGAAGCATGGACTGATGTGAAGGTCGGAGTGCAAGTGCAAGACTTTGATTAGCTTGTTTAGGTGTATTTAATTAGGGGTGGGGCTAAACTCTGCAGAACACCAGCTCTCCGGGACGAAATTAGATGACCCCTGTATTAAGGTATGTCCAATGGTACGTTCTGTTTTATTAGTCATTCATTATGCAGCTTAAGCAATATTATAAAAACTAAACTCTGTAGGGAATGCCTTATTTTGGTCTAATTTGAAAATGGGAATATATCGCCTAGCAACAAACACTGAGGCATTTTGTTAAGCTGTCTGTCTTAATACCTGCATGCCACACATTAATATGCTTTGCGTTTTTCATGCAAAAAGCTATTTTTAAAAAAATATCAACACTGAATAGAAGTAGCATGAAAACATGATGGTTCTTAAATAGGCAGAGATAGCAGTGCAATCTTGCACTTTGTGTTTTAGAAAAGTGCATTATAAATAAAACATACTATTATTATTATTAAACATATGCTCTCAGTCTCTCTGAATCCATTTACCTCTCAACACGTTTCCTCTTTCCTCCAATATGGACACTGCAGTAATTACATTCATTCTCCAATGCTTGTCAAACAGTGGAAAGCTGCCCATCACCTGTGTCTGGCCACATTCTCCCAGCACTGCTTCAGTAAATCCATCTCAAACATCAACGACTGACTGGGAATTAATTTCCACGCTATTGATTAATATCAGAAATAGCTAACAGACATGACAGCCACATCTTGGTCGCGGTCGTTTGGGAGTATTACACATTGACCATAAAGAACATGTATTATTTTATAATGAAAACCAGCAACAATGTCCATTTGAATATCAATGCAGATACAATTCAGGCGATTACAAAGCTCCACAAATTCTCAATGCGCCTTACAGTGCGCAAGCGGCAAGTAGTGGTGTAATGAGACGTACACAACCCGAGCAATGAAGCATTTCTCCGTCTACCTGTAATGAGCTTTGTGTATCTTAAAATTGTCTGCTCATCCATATTCATGTGTTTGTGACATGCACATGTGGGCAGTGGTGCTGAGGTGAGTCTCATTTGCATGTAAAGTGCTCTGGGTATCTACAAAAGCTCCATACAGATGCTATGACTCATTTATTCAAATTTCACGTTTAATCAATACATCGGCGATGAGTCTCGCAGACAGTGTGGGAAGGTTTTGAGAGGGCTCATATTGGGGTGACTGAGTTTCTAATGATTTGCGACCTGTTATACAGCAAATAAACATCCACGAATGAGGATTCACTCTGCAATATGTCATAGCTTCCCACCGAGTAGTTACAGGGTTATCGCATCTCAGCTAAGTAAAATAAAATATGCTACCATCTTTTTACCCCCCACAACCCTGCACAAGCCGCACGGATCATATTTCATCTGCGCACTAAACTTTCCTTCCACCCACTGGGTATGTGATTAAAATGCAGACATGGACGACATGCGGCCGCTGTGAAGCAGATAGGTGCATCCGAGAAAGTTTGCAACACCATATTTTGTCTTGGCTCATTTCAATTTATCCGCCCATATAAAGAAGTCATCGTTCACACAGACTCTGTGGTGAAGCCTGGCATGAAAGCGAATGAACAGCACCTTCCTAACATTCCTCAGCATTAAAAGTACATCATTGTGGCAAGTTTTCTCCATGGTATTCATTCTGCTGATTGTGCCGTCACACTGTGATGGGAGGAGAGGTCAAGCCAAAGGGAGAAGTTCAGGAAGTCCATGAGAAACGGTTATGTTAAAAGAAAAGCGATAAAAGAGGTTGGCCTTTCATTTTTCAATGGGTATTAAAAATGATTGGAATACGTTATCTGATCAGTCATATTATTCATGTTTTATACACTACAGAAACTGTAAGAGTACTATATGGTAGAATACAATTCTAAACATCTATTTTATATACAAGAAACACTCTCCCATAAAAAAGACCATTAAGAAACTATAAAGATGGATGTAACGTGATTGAACATGTAAGCAGTATCCCTCTAGAAATCTCATTAGATCTTTAGCAGTCAAGCTCGAAACCGTTTTTCGTGTTTAGACATTACAATTCATGATGGCAATTTGCCCATAATGTTTGTCCATTGACATAATGAGTTTTATAACTTAGATGTCTGCTAAGATGAAAATTTCCATTCATCTTCATGAGAGTGTCACAATACAAATGCACATCTCTAACTATTAGCTTTCTGTGAGGCTAATGTTTAATCTGACATTTACTATCGAGTTAAAAGTTTGACATTGCACCTCCTATTGGCTTCAAAACACATCAATCAGTCCTGTCAGAGGAGACAAGGACCTTCCAGTTGTCATTGAATGATACTTTAAATGATTAATAGCCCCACAAAACCAATCGATTTTCGTGGGAAAATAAGGTGTGATACTGAGAAAAAATGCTTGGTGTTCTTTCTTGGTCATTAAGATGGAAGGAGATACAAAATGGGGAAACAAAATGGCACCACAACGATAAACTGCAGCAATGCCTGAAGACAAACCAGTCCTTCAACTAGATAGGTAAGGTGTATAAAGACCTTGTCTGAAAGTTACACGCTATTTCAAAAGCTGTAAGTTTCAAGGTCATACCATCACTTGAGGAGTGGCGCAGTTGGTAGAGCTGTTGCCTCACAGCAAGAAGGTAGAGTTGTTGCCTCACAGCAAGAAGGTCGCTGGTTCGAGGGTCAGTTGGCGTTTCTGTGTGGAGTTTGCATGTTCTTCCCGTGTTTGTGTGGGTTTCCTCTGGGTGCTCCAGATTCCCCCACAAGTCCAAAAGACATTTGCTATAGGTGAATTGAGTATGTGTGTGTGAATGAAAGTGTATGAATTCCCAATGATGGGTTGCAGCTGGAAGAACATCCGCTGCATAAAATGTGTGCTGGATAACTTAGTGGTTTGTGGCTTTTCCCTGGACTAAGCGGA